CACTCAGAAAAGAAGAGGATGCGATTCTGCTTCAAGTCGTAGGTTTCGAAAAAGATAGGATAAGATACTTTAATGATACATGTTTTGTTCATCATCTCTATATATTGTATAATCCTTTACCGCATCTGAAACATTTAAGTTATTCAATACAACAATTAACTCTAAAACTGAGGCGTCATTTCAATTTATCTTCTTTACCTCCAAACAGATATGTCTTATCCAACAGAAATGGACAAAGAAGATTTGGAAATCAAGATGAAGTTTTTAATGCAATAAAAAACAGCTATAAAGATATTAATTGGGAAGTAATCTCAGATAAAATGAGTGTACATGAGCAAGCAAAAACTTTCAATGAAGTGAAGTTTTGGTATACGATCACAGGATCTAATCTCATTCGAATGTACTACATGCAACCAAATACAATGGTGATTTCCTGCCAAGTTGAACACAATGATATTGCTATGCAATCAATAGCATACTCCAATAGAATAAGCATGATTTGCTATCGAAATGATCCAAATACAAGGCATTTTGGGTGGGACCCTTTCCAAGGCGCAGTAGATAAAGCAATTAAATATGTTGGATATGGCTTGGAACGATTAAGTAATAAAACAAGATGACTCAAGGTACCAAATAATTTGTTCGTAATAAACATGTTCTTATTTTGTGGCTTAGGAATTTTCGATGTGTGTTTTTATTTTACAGTCCTGTCAAAGGTTCATTCTTACACCTTTTTACTTTTTTCTTAGGGTTACTGATCGCATTCTTTCTGCTCTTTATGCCAGAAAAGAAAGAAATAATTAGTGCAGCCTAATTTATTACTCCAATTGGCAACTATCCTGTATAATGTAATTAGCTGCATTTTGAGTTATTCTCCAGCATTATTCAATTTATAACCAACTTCGTTAATTTTAATCATATTTCAACAGTATCAAAGCATGGAGATAATATCAAGATTATACCTTCCAAAGCTTCACATTAAAATCGATTATTAAAAATCGAAATTTTCCATCTCTAAAATAGAACGACAGAATTCCTCTTAATCTTGAATATTGGAAAATTTAGTAATGAATCGCAATGGATTCTACAACCGATACACAGTACCGTAGATAATCTTTGAACATTTCTGATTTCTCTTTTATAAATTTTGATTTGAGTATAAATAACTATAATTTACGCAATAGTTACTACATTTAGGCTAGTGTAGTACGTTTCCATTCACCTCTTTACTTGTTATTAATCATTATTATTTTACTATATTAAGGGTGCGCTAGGAGGATTACTGATTTTTAATCGTCTTTTTTCTATACAGGGAATGGTTGGCGCTTAAAATATATGGTATATAGCGCACCGCCCGAACCATAAAAGGAACATTCGCGAGACTTCCCAATGATTGATTTTCAAATAAATAGGATATTTAGAATCAGGAGGCTCCAAATATGAATAACATCATCTTATTTTTGAAAAGCTACTAAAAGAATAAAAAGATTTGTGACCCATGTTTTAATTTCCATGAGCACTGTTCAAAAGAAGCAACAGACACTCGCAGTGCGATACAAACTGTCCCAGAAAGACCGGGAAGGGGTCCTCCCTCATGTTTATGGCCCCTTCTAGTCTTTCTGGTGCCGGAAGAAGTGGCGTTTGCTGATATCACAAATGATTTTTAAGAAAGTTGCATTATGAACAACATTCACTTGTTATTGTTTTCAACTTACTTTGAATTTACAAGACTTACTTCGAAATTTGCAATTTAAATAAGCTTGTGGGTTTGGATGATTCAAATTTCGCGGTCAATCAAAAACTAAAATAGGCATGTTATGGAGCTCATATATTCTTTTTGTTCCTAAAAAAAAAATTGCAAATCTTTTTATTGGAAATTAAATTTACTCATTTACAATAAACTTTATTTGCACTTTAAAAAGGATGGACATAGAATTAATTAAATTCTCATGAAAGAATTTATAATATTGAGGATGATTATTGTAGCTAAATGTTCTCAAAATCAACAAAATTGATCTTACGGTATACGAAATTAGTCAAAATTATGATAAGCCTTGAAATTATATATTATTTTGAGAATATCCTCGTTTGCCTTTAAAATAACCCTTACAAATATGTTTATTGGCATTGTGTCTGACATATCTACCAAAATAAGCTATCTAAGCGAACATCTAAATCAAATTACAGAGTTCATGAATAATAATATCGATGGCTATTGATCTCATACAGGAGATTAACACAATTCTGAAGTTTCACTGATTATTGCAGGTGGGCAATTCTTAATAACATCCAATTGCCCAAAATAGTTTAAGGTTGGGCAGTAGTGTAAACATTTCAAAAAAGCCAAAAAATCAAATAACGTACAATTGCCCAAATTTTATTGCCCACGGGCAATACTTCAGTGGGCATAATATGATTATATATTTTCTGATAATTATATTCATATTAATGTAACATTCCTGAAAGTTCAATCTGAAAGCAGATTTGAAGAGAAATCAATTTATGAAATTATCAAATGTAGATGATTTATGTGATTTAAGTAAAGATATAGAACATATGCATCAAGCCAAGTAATTTATACCTATAATAAATTACATGTTTTATGACCAAAATTCCTTCAAAATGAGTATTTTTGTAATTTTCCTCTGAATTCAATACTTTACACTATTTCCCACGTGGGCAATATTTCTTCAAAAATATACCACCTTTTGGCAATTGCGACATGCTTTTATATATAGTAATTCTATCGTTTTTCGACAGGCTTGTCGTGCCTTCAACACGTATTTCGGGGGACTGTAGTTTTATTTTTTTTTTCTTTATGTTCCACGGTATTTTGTTACATAGTTCTGAAGTTCAGGGTTATAGCTTGGACAGTATTTATTCATACTGTCCAATAGTTTCCGAGCTACATGGTATGGTGTATAATTTGTGCAAAAGTATTATTGTTATATATGCCTGTTATATAACCAATTTCATTATCCTCACGCACAGTATACAAATGTCTAACTGTTTCGTTTGGCCGAATTGAAACAAAATTTATATTGTTATATTTGTACAAATCATAAGTAAATATGACATTGAAAAGATGTTGGTCGTGCCAATCCTTGTCCCACAAGAAATACGAAAAGAATAAATCAAGTGCTCGCGTAAACGGTTCAGCGTAGCCAAAAGAAATTCCGGCACATGCTATTACGGCTTCATTTTTAGGAGTTATTCCAAGATCGTTTATAATATTATTGTAAAAAGTATACGATACAGGTTTCCCTTCCTCTATCATGTAGAATTTATCAGGTTTGATGGCATCGTTAAATGGATAGCCTTGAAATATAGTATCAAACATGTCGCATTTCATAATTCGATCAAATCTATGGAAATTTCTTTTCGCGATGTAATAATCCCACAAATATATAAGAGAGTAGTAATTATGCGACATGGTGAACTCGGGTTTACCCATGTTGATGATTTGGCCACCACAAAGTTCAATGTCTAAGATCATTTCTTTAGTTAATTTGCGAAATGCTTCATATCAACAAGGATTGCAACCGTACACTTGCATCCAGTATGTCGTAGTGTTCGCATGAATAAATTGATGTTTTCAATATTTTTTGTGCTTCCTGTGATGATCAAGTCTCTAGGCGAGCTGTCTGATTTGCCATTCCTGACTGTGAAGTTGCAATGATGACAATTAAGAGTTCCATTGAAGTATTTAATATTTAAGTCCGCTCGAAGATAAATGTCTTGATTAATACTGAACCTCCAAGTAGAAATATTATGTTTAAATTGGATAGGCCAAATATACTTTGGAATATTCCAAAGATATAGCGTCGACATCGTTGCAAAAATAAAGAGGAAAGGAGATATGATATTGTATACCAAAAGTGTCAAAGATTTTTTTAATTCAATTTTTAAAGGAATGTTTTGATGGGATGAGCTTACTGATCATAGGCTCTTCCCTTCAAAACTCTGGCCTTCATCGAGGCTAGAGCTCACAATTCATCCCCTCAGAGCCAAGTTCCTCGGCAGTCGTCCTCATTAGGCTCGATCCGAAAAGAACTTGGCTCTGAATGAAAATCATAAGCTCTGGCCTCAGGAAACGCCAGAGTTTCGCAAGTAATCCTCGGGACCGGTTTCCTCAGAGAACGCCGTGATTCGGGGCGGCCGGATAGGAATTCAGTCCCGTGAGAGTGTCCTTACAGAGCTCTGTCCTTTCCTGAGGCCAGATCATGCAAGATCAATCCTCAGGGCTGAGTTTTTCAATGGTCGTCCAAATGATAGACTGTTTCGTAGGAACTCGGCCCTGAAATACATCAAATTACAGGTTCTAGCCCCCACGGAGACCAGGGTTTCGCTAACATCCCTCAAAGACGAGTTCCCTGAGTTTGTACAGATCGCAGACACTTCTCAGCGGAACTCGGCCATGAGATGCATTAAATACGAAGCACTGGTCTCTGCTGAGGCCAGGGCCTCGCTTATAGTCCTTATGGCTCCAAGAAAAGAATCCGGCCCTAAGAACGAGAAAAAATGAATATCTGGTCTCAGCATAGGTCAGAATCTGCAAATTTCATCCTCATGACCGAGTATGAAGGAGATTGTCCTTATCATGGACAGTCTCATCAAGACTCGGTCATTAAAGATAGAAATATCCCTACTCTGACTTCTAGTGACATAAGAGTCTGGAAATACATTCTAATAAGCTTTTCCAATTATCAATGTAGGAGAAAGTGGAGAAAGGAGCCCTTTATCAAGGTTAGAACTCATTTTTAGGCTATTTCGTAATGTTCAGTAAGGTTTTATCCAAATTTGAATTGAGATATTTTAAGATCTTTCAACTCTCACTGTTTTTCATATTCTTAAATAAAAATGGTCTTCGATAAAAACGTCACTTCTGTATATTATAGGGAGGAAAGACATACCGGACATTTTGACCGAAACTAGTATTTGCCATTTTTCAGGTGTATGCCCTTTTTTCTTGGGATTACCCAAAATTAATTAAAAAAAAAATGATTGATGAAGATTTTTCTACACGATTAACAAATCTACTTTCAATATCCACTAGTTATTCAGTTAATGATATAACTTCCTTTTCACAGCTCCGAGTTAGACTTAAAATACCGAGAATTCACTTAGACATTTTATTAAGAATCATCGAAATTACCACAGATATCTTGAAATCAGAGCACAATGTTATGAAAATTCAATCACCAATTCTTATAGTAGGAGATTTACACGGACATTTACTTGATTTGCTCAGAATTATTTCGAAGCATGGTTTGCCACCTAAAACACGCTATTTATTTTTGGGTGACATAGTTGATCGTGGAGAGTTCTCTCTTGAAACGTTAACATTAGTTTTCACATTGAAAATTTTATTTCCAGAGAACGTGTTTATTATCAGAGGAAACCATGAATTCCCAGAAATGTTTGAAACAAACGGTTTCTCAAACGAAATATACAATACATATGGAGAAAATAAAACTCTTATTGAAAAACTTTCGAATTGCTTTGGATATATTCCCGTAGCTGCGATTATTGACAACAAATATCTTTGCATACACGGAGGCATTGGACAAGAAACAGAATCAATCGAGCAAATTGAGCGATTACCTCGACCAATTATTAATTTTACAAATGATTTATTAAATGAACTGGTTTGGTCTGACCCTGCGCCAGGGATTCCTCTATTTATGCCATCGGCACGTGGAGTTGGTTATTTATTTGGACAAAAGGCTGCACAATCTTTTTTACAGAAAAACAATATCGAATTAATTATTAGAGGTCATCAAGTTACATTTGAAGGCATCGAACGAACAATTGATGAAGTACTAACAGTATTCAGCGCATCAAATTATTGCGGCAAAAATGGAAACAAATCCGGAATTGCAATAATTGAAGAAGGAAAGCTTTCAACATTGGTCGAACAACCATTGAATTATATTCTAAGGAGTCAGGTACACTTTTACGATACAGATTTACACTCTTTTGAAACTTCTGGATCAATTAATCAAAATGACCTTCGTGGTCCAAGCCTTCCGAAGCTTCTTGGACTTTCATCAAGATCTCTGCGTGGGAAAAACCCAATTCCACTTGCTCATTCTACTTCACAACCAAACCAAAGAAGTAATCTATCTCATCATCCAACCAAAAAGCCAGTTTCCCTTAGAAAACACTCTCTTATGATATAGAGCAATGAAGTTATTTGCATATACTTATATATTTGTTTTTTATATGTTTTATTTTTACCATGAATGTTTAAAAATATATTTTAATTTATCTGTATTTTCTGGAGCAGCCATCATCATATTTGAAAAAACTTGAACTATTATTATTTCCTAAAATATAGAACTGAAGAGCATTTGATAAAATTAATAGAAGTGAAACTCCTGCATATGGCTTCCAGATGTAAAATCTTTTCATCTATTTAAATAGTTTGATCAATTATTACCTTCAATTCATTGATCGTTTATATTTCATGTATAATTGAGCTTCGCAAAAATGACTTTCTGATCATTTCAATGGTTACGAAATGCAAATACACAAAATTAATAGCAATCATGATTATCTATTATCTACTTTATATATAGTCAGGAGAAAAAGGTGTAAACCGGGCAAAAAGGTGTAAACCTTAAATCTTTAGGGCTAAAAGTAGGAAAGATATTGTCCCCATATGTGTGCGATCTGGGAGGTATGATTAGTTCAAAAATTCAAAATAGATTTAATAATGAGATATTAGCTATTATATGATAACATATATAAATAATAACATAAATAGTTTCCCCATATTATAACAATTATAATTCTTTGAAGAAAATGGATATTTAAAATCTCAAATAATCTTGAATATTTTATAAAAATTACGCATATTGATTTCAATGGTAGTCCATTGCATTGTTCTATAATAGCATTTAATAAATGCTCGATCATTTTTATATGAGTTAACTATCGAGCAGTTTGAACACTGAAATAGCATATCAACAAAGGTGTAAACCATATTGAGAAAGCGTATTTTTTTAGTTTAATCATAAAAATCGATTTCATATTAGAAAATAAAATTACTCATTGCGTATTATTAATTGAATTGATTTTTTACCACAATAATACCAAATTCAATTTAAAATTTAAACAACAAACTTCAATAATGAACAATATAAGTATACATGGTGAGTATAGATATTGCTTACAATATGAATGTTAGAATTGCAATTTGAAATTGCAAATTTTATAATTCCACAAACGTTTGAAAATAGGATTATTTTACACATAGAAACATTGAAATATAACAAACTTAATCTAAAGATGAAAGGAATAAAACTTATATAAAAATGAACGTTTAGAATTTTTTCATTTTGGATTATCCAACTCCAACTCAAGATTTCCTTGATAGATTAGCACCGAATCACTCAATGTAAGGGTACTGCTGAGGACTTGGATCATCTTCCTTAATATTTATCAATGAAATACGCCAAATAACGAAATTTATTTGGTTTATGCCCGCTGAAGTCAATTTGTACCGGTTACAGCCCAAAGGATCAAATTAATAGAACAATATTTTTACACATGGCCTTAATGAAAGCCAACAAGAATAGAATTCTTGCAATTTATTCAAAGAAATGTATGTTTCATTGGTGAAAACGAATAAAGATATTGTTTATATACTATTTTAATTTACTAATAATGATTTTTTGAGTCTTATTAAGTTTTTTTTTAAAAAAAATAAATTATCTAAATATCCATATTTTTAAGTTTTTGTTTAGAATACACAGCCCAAATATACTCAATATGACTATACTATTGATATTAATATTGGCTCCTAAATATCAAGGTTTACACCTTTTTGCCCCGTTTACACCTTTTTCTCCTGACTATATATAATCTTCAATTTCTCCATAAGGTGAAGCGTAACCACTGTAGGGATCCGAAAGACCTTCTAAGTTAGTGTACTTACCAACTTTCATGCAATCTAGAACTCTTTGAGCCATTTCTGCCATGAGTTTCGCGTAACATGGAATATATTCTGTAAATCTGAATCCCATCTTTTTATGTCCGACTCCAATCATGTAGAACTCACCTGCCAAGGCGAGATGGAAATTAGGCATGTCAATTCTGTGTGTCATCATTATTACCATTCCTGTTCGCGGAGCCATGAAAACGGAGTTGTAAATTCCAGATCCGGCAGGTGCAATAAGAAGTTTTGTGCCTGACCATAATTTAGCAACATCTTTAATGTCTGTTGAGTTCGGATATGTATAGATCCACTTCTCACCTTCATCTATTTTACAATATAACGTCAAATTTCCCAAAAGTTCATCAACATTATGTATCAATCTCTCTTTTCCAATTCTATTAATTATTTGGAATTTTGTAGGTTTAATTTGATCTAATTTATACTTATCAAAAATTAAATTTCGAAGACGCCTAAAACCGCCAATAGTGCAACCATGACCAAAAATAAGTGTAGATACATAGTATAACTTGTGTACTAAAACTTGCTCGTCTTGCTTAAGAGTCAATAATTTAATTTTATTACCGTAACCAATAGCATCAAGCCACATTTGGCCAAGACATTTTCCTACAGTAGGGGCAAGCATAACTACACCTTGATCAATTACTTCTTTTGGTATGTACATTAAACCGCATAAAAAATCATGAATTAAATGTCCAAACATTTCAAATAAATCAATAACGTAAACGCCTATATTGTACTCGCCAACAGTTTTCTTCTGCTTATATTCGCCGTGTTGCTTATCAACGTACAATTTGAGTCCATAGTCAAGAGTAGCTGGCTCACGAGATAGATATGCGTAGTTAAAAACAGCTACATATACTATAGAATAAAAAATTCTGTTTCCAGGTATATCCATTCTAAAGAAAAATTCGCCATTATGCCACATTTTTGCAATTTCAGTATCATTTTTGCTGACAATATCGAAATACCTATTACAATCTTCGTAATTCAGCTGGTAAAACCATTTCCATCCCTTAGGATGATTTTGATAAATAATAGGATGAGTTTTGCATTGAATATTGATGATATTTATAGGATCTGTAACAGGGAATAACATTATTAGGAGTATAATTATCTCCACAATCTTGAACGAGCCTACTCTTGAATGAAAGATAATTTTTGGAATTTGCGACTGAAAATTTTTGCCATTTGTAGAATTGTAAAAATACAAATTTACATGTCATTTTTTCATATAAAAAATTCTCACCATACGATTATTTTTGGTTCAAATGCTGTTCGGCATTAAAAACAAAAATAATAAAAGGTAGGGTATTTTCAAGGATCATATCTCCCTATGTATTTTATTAAGCAAGCCATCAATGGGGCAATGCAACAAAACATGGCAACCTATACTATATAATAGGATGTTAACTCGAATGATCTCTCTTTGGATTGATTATATTTTACAATTTCAGTCAATGTCGTTAAAAACTATTCACAGTAATAGGGTGGCTTCTAAAATGATTGAAACCAAGAATTAAGTTTACAAAAGTATAGATTAAAATATGAAATTTCGATTCGATAGTATCCAGCCAAAATTTTTGTTAGATAATCATATATATAAATAGCATTCAAATGGCAAATGCACAGTTGAAATATACATTAAATTTGTCAATACAATTTTTGTGTAGAGATTAATTTGCGATGTTAAAATGCATTGGTGCAGTTTTGTGGAAGTGTTTTGACTTTTCTTACCAAATTATATTTGTTTGCCCAACAATTACTTGGATTTCATGAGGTTTATTCCAAATTGAAATTTGAAATCTTATCACACTGTTATTGTTTGATATCATAATCAATAACAATTACTAGAAATTTACGAATACACCTAGATACATTTATTCTATTGACTTGTTGTTGATGAAATAAAATCATTATTAATTTACCTGCAATTTGTATGATATATATCATGTTTATCATAATTTCTGAGATTTGATCAGCTTGAAGTTGAAGAATGAAAAAATTTAATATTAGAATCAAAAAAAATTGCAATTTTGCACTTCAAAAGGATTGAACTTCAAAGTTTGGATAATAATACAACAAGTTGGTTTTCCAAAAAATATTCAAAATCTATTTTTTCATCTGAAAAATTAAATATTTGATTTTCATTTTTCTTTTTTTGAATTTTTTTTGGAATTTTCAACTATGACCCAGAACAGAAAGAGTATCGCAACTTTATTTAATAACATATAATATGATGAGTTATATGTTTATTTTATAGTCATATTTTTGATCACAAATATCATACCAATTAATATGTAATTTTATAACAAATGTATTATAATGTTCACAAATATGAGCTAAATCAGCAAAATACGCCGAAGAAAAGAGTATAAAACATATTTTTAGTCTATTTATTTTCATATTACATGTTTCAACATGCAATGCTAAAATTGTAGTAGACATATGAGATCCTTGAACATGTTAGTACTACGTGCATGATAAAGTAAGCTTCAATTTTATACCAATATTGTCAATTGAATCAAATTTACGGCATTATAATAATATATAATTCGTTTTATGATATGGTACTGATATTCTACTTGTACTGGATTGTACTATCGTGACATTTAAGAGATTTTTCTCGATAATTCTGGATGATTATATAACTCTAGATTGAATTTGCCGATTTTCCCCAAACTACGTATTCTACATATGCATAATATGTATAGCCTGCAGATGGAGTTTAATGCCAAAATTTTGGTTAGAAGGGAGTGTCTGTACCTTAATAATCATAAGCTTGAGAATCACTTCAAAATTATGAGTTATCCAAAAAGACTTGCGAAGTTTAAGAGAAGAAGGAACAGGACAAAAGGTCTTGCGAAGTTTTTATGATTAAAAATAATTTCGAAATCATCAATGTCGCCTATATTGTATATGTTCAAACATACACATAACAGTATGGACATCAAGTCTAATTTGTACTACGGTTTTCTTCTAGTTATTTTTCTGATGTGATATAACATCATGATAAAATTTGAGAGCTCCGTCAAATAACTGTTATTAATGATCACATAATAAGTTTAACATTCCACCATATTTTTCACCTCAAGAATTCTATATGAATATCCGATTTTTTCTGATCGACATTTGTGAAGTTCATTTTTCGAAAATGATAAAAGACAGCCTTTTTGATTATTCTAAACTCAATCCAATTAAAAATGAAGGAGCAGTAAATGGGGGGCTATTTATGCTTCAATTTACAGCACTTACTAAAACAATTAACACTGAATTTTATCAAAAAAAGTATAACATCGATTTTAAAGGAAATGGATGCGATAGAAAAGGAACATGCAAGATAGAGCTAACATCAAAACAAGCAAAAGCGTTACTTGAGGAACCATCTTCATTTAACCTTTACTCCTTAGATTACGATTTTTCACAAAAGCCGCGTGATTTTCCTACCTCATTCATAGTGCTTGCCTCTGATGATTGGATTCCATCAGATTCTTCAATTAGATATAATTCATTAAGTACTAACATCTTTCAAGTTGAAAATGTACAAAACATAGGACATTTACTTCGTGATCCCCGTGTCGGACCTATTTTCAAATCTGCTCCACTAAAATATTTCAATAGATTCAACACCGGCCTCATTCAGACTGGAGATGCAGCTGGCACTCTTGAAGGTGATAGCTACGAAATTAAGAGGAAATTCAATGATCTCGGTCTTACAGGCAAGAATCAAATCGTAAACTTGGTTGATACTGGAATTGATGAATTCCATCCTTTCTTCTACGATGATAGGATGCGTGCACCGAGATCCGACGCAAACAACCTTAACTTCGATCTCAACCATCGCAAAATTGTTTCGATCTACAACGCATCTGACTACAAAGACGACAAATCTGGCCACGGCACACACTGTGCTGGTAATATACTCGGAAAGGCAGACTGTGAAACATGCCCCATCAACAAATACCGTGGCATGGCGCCAGATGCCAAACTCTTTGTTGTAGATGTCTCGAAAGTTGGTGAACAAGGTCTTTCCATCGCATTCAACCCAATTACCATGGCCAAGAACCTTTCTGAGAAGGTTGACAGCCACATTTCCTCCAACTCTTGGGGATCCTCCACTCCAATTCCGCTCTTTTCTTACCTGTACGACCTCGCTGCATCCACAGTCAGAGACTTCCTGTATGTCTTCGCTGCTGGCAACGACGGCCAGGAGGGAGTGATGACGATTTCCTCTCCTTCAGACGCAAAGAACGTCCTCTCTGTCACAGCGTCCACAATGCCTGAGGCCGCGCAGAAGAAGCTGTACCAGCTGATGAACCTCTCTTTCGTCTCGTCTGATGGATATGTCTCAGTCAGTGTCAACAAGACAGGAGACAACACCCTTCTCCTCCAGAACGAACTAGACGATCCTTCATGGAAGTGGTCGAACATCAAACTCGCAGAGATGTCAGACTTCGAGAACCTCCCTGAGACAGAGGCAAAGGGACGAGTAATTCTTCTCGACTCAATCAAGTTCACAGGAACTAACAGGAGTTACGTCGACATCTGCGACGCTGCTCTCAGATTCGACAGACTCGGCGCTGTAGGTGTTGTTTACAATGGAACAAAGGCCAACAACTTCTGCCACCATCTCGGCATCAGCTTTGACATTCCTGTCTTCTTCACACTTCACGGCGGATTCGACGACCTGATGAGATTGTCAGAGAACGACACAACAGTCAGCCTCAAGAAAGTGTTAAACGAGAAGAGCATGCTTAAGATGGAGTCGGCGTTCTTCAGCTCAATGGGACCAACATTAAAGGGCCAGAACAAGCCAGACGTAATACTGCCTGGATTTTTCACAGTCAGTGCAGACTCAGGTGATCCAGAGATTGAGGAAAAGAGGTCACTCAAATCTCTGATCACAATGAGCGGCACATCCATGGCAACACCACTCATGGCAGGCACAGCCACACTGATCAGAGACTTCTTCTCCAACGGATACTACAGAGATCTGAAGGAAGACAACTCAAGCAGTGTAAAGCCGTCGAGCGCCCTCTTGAGAGCAACTGCGATATCCAGTGCCAGATCAATCAGCAACATGATCACGCCAAACATCATTGAAGGATTCGGAATGCCAAATCTCAACAATGTCTTCCCATTCGACAGATACGAAGAATACGGCTTCAGATTCGTTGACAACGTTGTGATAAATCCGAAAGAGGCACACAACTACGAGATACAAGTTGACAACGACAAGAGTGATTTAACAGTTACTTTGTCGTACATCGACCCAGTTCCAGACATGCTATCTCTTGGTGAAAACGCACAGCTTCTATACAACGCTCTTGTAGCTGATTTGGACCTTTCAGTTGTTTCTCCATCAGGAAAAGTCTTCAGACCTAACTCCAACGCTGGAGATTTCCTGAACACAAACGAGAGAATTATCATCGATAAGGCGAAGGTCGAAGTCGGCAAATACAAGGTGTTCGTGACTGCAAACAACTACGAAGTATACGACCAGAAACCTTCTTACGCATTGACAGTAACTGGAGGCTTCCCTCACAAAGACTTCGCCAAATTCGACCTGAAGAAGACTGAGAAATCAGAGTGCTCATACTGCAACGGTGAGTGCCAGAGTGGCTTCTGCAAGTGCAACAGCGCCGACTTGGCTGGAACATACTGCGAGTCGAGAGTCAGCGATGTCCAGCTGAATAAAGTAGTCAGCGACAAGTTGACGAAAGGAAAGATCAATTACTACAAAGTCACCTTCTCGAACAAAGCGAACTCACACCCACCATTCATGCAGTTTATTATACAGGATTTGGCATTCCTTATTGTCAGCGATCAGCCGATCAAGAACCTGTTTGAGCATGGCCAGGAAACAATTCCATTGGTGGACAAGCAGACTCTCATTCCACTCAATGACAAAGTGTCGACTGTATATATGGCCATGTACACAGTTATCAAGTCTCAGAACATACAGTTTGCATGCTTCGGTGGTGATGGAAAATTATCTTCACCAGTTGCATCAAATTCATTGGTCTGGGTTTCATTTGTTTTCTCTGCTCTCGGACTTGTTATTTTGTCTTTCGCTCTTTACCTTATCAAGTGCAAGAAGAACTACAATCAGTTTAATGATAATGATAACGAACCTAATGTTTTAACAGTTTAAATAAAATGAAATAAAAATAAATAAATAAATAAAATAAAAAAAAATCGGAATTCTCAGCAATACGATTATTTTTGATTCAAATGCTGTTTGGTATTAAAAGCAAAAATAATCATATATCAGAGAATTACACTTTTCCGATATTTTTTGGTCGCTTCGCGCCCCTGACAAAACGTCGGAAAAGTGTAAATTTTCCGACTTTGTTCATTTTCTTTTGATATTGAATAAGTCTCTAATAAAAACATTTTTTATTAATACTCATATAATCAATACAAATGGAGTTTCTCAAAAAGCTAATGCTGGTTTATCGAGGATCATTGTGATCTTCAATGATCGAATTTCCTGTTATTAATATTCCATATAAATATACACAAATAACATCATCAGAAATAAATCAAGCAAAAAGATTACGAGGAGGGCCAAAATCTAATGTTTGATCAATGAAATAGTCTACAAGCATTGGGTTAAATTTGTTGTCTGGACATGTTTTATGAGTGACATTTTCAAAAAGATTTCTGAGACCTTCTGTTGATTGCCACTTCTGATATTTCACAGCTGCAACGACCTGTTTTGCATGAAATACAACGCGGTCGACGCTGCAATTGTAAGGATCGTAGTCAAGGAATTTCCAGTCTTTATGGTATATAACAGCACTAAACATGTGGTTCTGAAATGCAATACTCATCTGTTCTGTCAACACGTTGTTGGGGAAAAGAACAATTAAACCAGTACTGTTGTGCATAAACATGCAATTAAACAGCTGAGAGCCTCCAACAGTGAAAAGGACTTTAATTGTTGGCCATAACTTAACTTGTTCGTATATATTATGCTGATTGTGAATAACTTCCCATGTTTTTCCATCATCGATTTTGACGTATTTGTTTAATCCATCAACAACCTCATTAAAGTTACCAAGGTATCTTCTTGTATCTCTATTCATTGCGCAGAATCTAGTACTATTTATTTGCGAAAGATTAAAGCGTTCAAACATTTTTCTTCTCATGTATGAGTAACCACCTGCAAATGCTCGGTGAGCTTTACTCATGTGAGATACTACGTATAATTGCCGAACAAATATATGCTGGTTTGCGTAGCCATCAAAAAGATGAACTTTAAACCCACATGCTTGAAGCCAATCTTGGAGATCTTTCCCTGCAGAAGGTGGTATCGCAATAGTAAATTCTTGTTTTTGGACAGATTCTGGCAAATATGTTAATCCGCTGATAAAATCGTCAATTGTATGGCCCCATTCGCGCCAATTACAAATGGTGAACACACCTATGTCGTACGTCTCAATAACTTTTCGATGTCCAAATAGCCTACCTTCCATTACCCAGGTATCAATATAAAATTCGCTTGTTTGAGGATCATATGAAGTATATGCGTTTGTATAGGCTGTGACATAAACAAGTGATCGTAATACATGACAAAAGCTCGGATCATCATCGGTATAATAATCGTCCTTTGTCATCAATGAATAATTCGTTAACCATAATGGAATTCTTCGAATATGTCTTATAAGTATGTCGTTAGGTATTTGATAGAATGGATATGTTTTGTTAGGTTTTGGTTGTAAATTAATAAGTGTAATTCTAAAAGAAATCGAAATTTTAGGACTTGAGACCAAATTTAGTATGAAAAGCTTGAGCAGGACAAGACAAAAGAAACACCAAATCTGATTGAATGCTAAATAACCATTTTTCATTATAACAAGTAATTTAGCGTGACGATTATTATGAACTCAATAAGGAAATGATGAAGGAAAATTTTGCAATTTTGTAGCAAATTCAGAAAAATATGAAGGAAACACCAGCTGTGTAATGAATAATATTATTTATAAAACAAAATAAAATAATTTAAAATTAATCGAGTTCATCCAGTTCCTGAACTTTAGGAGTTGGGCCTTCTTCAAGTTTAGCCATTCTTTGATATTTCTCAACTATTAATTTCTCAGCTTCTTCGTCATCACTCGATAGAAGCTCTGGATGGTCTCTTCTTATATCTTTTCCAGCAGCTATTGCCGCCTCACGCTGCATCCTTCTAAATTCCTTCATGCTGTCATGATCTCTTTCGTTCTTTTCTGCTGAAATCTTTTGCCTTTCCTTCATTTCAGCTTCTTTTCCGCCAATAGCCCAGGCAGAAACAGTCCTTCTCTCTTCGTCTGTTACTGGAGTATCATCTAAATGTCGTAAATTTTTGTGAGTCGAAATTAGAGTTCTTCTATAAGTTTTGAACTGTCGTACAACAGGATTACCATCCAAATGCAAAACACGTAAGTCTTTTAATGTTTCTAATACATCTAATGATTCTATTTCGGTTAATTTGTTATTTGTTAATCTTAAAATTTGCAAATTCTCGCAATGTCGTATTCCATCAAGGCAATCGTTTGATCCTCCTATTTTGTTCGCTTCTAAATCTAAAAATGTTAAAGATTTGCATTTTTCAAGTCCTTCGATTTTTCGAATGTAATTAAAGGAAAGGATAAGATTTTCTAATTGGTCTAACTCATCAAGTCCTTCTATATGCTCTATGCAGTTTTCGGAAAGATATAACGTTTGTAATTTTTTCAAGGTGTTCAATCCTTCGATTTTTGAAAATTGGTTACCGCTAAGCCATAAAACACGCAATTCTAAGAATCTTTCTAGTCCATCTATCGAAAGAAAACCAGCATTCTCCAAATGAAGTACATCATTGCATTCTGGTGTGATGTACATTCCTCTTTTAGCACATATTTTCAATATTGACTTTTCATCCATTTTAAATTCTTCTGGACATTCTTCTTCCATTGGATTTTGTTCTTTATTCTTCAGCTCTGTCACTTTTTGGAAATAGAAAAAATGAGTGTAAAATTTGGGTCCAAATGCATTTCTTCAAGGGTTATAAGCCTAGTAGAAGGTCCCGCAATGCCTGGTACAGAAGATAACGCAGATGGATTTCTTATTGTATCAGAATATCAAGTTATTCAGCATAACGAAACTAAATACAAAATAATCAAAGTCATTGGTCGTGGAAATTCCGCATACGCATTTCAAGCTGAATCAAGATTAATTTCGCAGTCTATTTTAGAAAGAAAAGTTGTTGTACTAAAAATATTTCGCTCAAATCCTTTGTCTACAACTATGGCTAATGATGAATACAGATTTATTAATAATGCGATACACGGACACTCTGCAGAAGAAACTGTTTCTTTTCCAAAGATTTATGATTTCTTTACTTATAAAGGCCATCCGGTCATCGTAATGGAACAATACGGCCCTTCTTTATACGATCATTTCATGAATATTTTCAAAATGGAAGAAATAAAATCGCAAGATAATCCAAATCTTCACGGAATGGAGATTCTCCATGTTCAGTACTTAATGAGACAACTTGTCAAAGCCTTATCACTACTGCATCCTACAGGTTGCATTCATGCAGATATTAAACCAGAAAATATTCTTTTTGACCATTTACCAAAACGATTCCAAAACTTCGTTCTAATAGATTTCTCGTCTAGTTTCAGTACAGAATGGAAATGTACTTACCCAATTACAACAAGTTTCTACAGACCTCCAGAAGTTTCCTTGTGTTTGCCTTACAATCAGTCACTAGATATATGGTCACTTGGTTGTGTAGCATACGAGGCATTTGTTGGTGCCCCTCTTTTTCCTCAATTTGATGACGACAAACTTTTGGCGAATTTCGAAAAATCTCTTGGCCCAATTCCTAAAGAGATGATAGAACAGTCGCCAGTCAGAACTAGATACTTTGATGGCCTCAATCTCAAAGTCCAAATCGAAGATTCAATCCATCATGATTATATTAGAATGATCAGCGAGCTTTATTATACAAGAGCTCAGAGTAAAGAGCAATTCCAGCGTGAGCTTGAGTTGCGCGCTCAACTGGCTGATTTTGTATCGAGTTGTTTGAAATACAGCCCAGCAGATCGGCCAACTGTACAAGATCTATTAAAGCATCCATTTATTGTCGATGCTTAACTATGTTGTTTTAATAAAATTGTTATGTTATGTTTTTTAAAGGTAAGGACACTCGCTTCTAACCGAAATTTTTGGCCTATAACTCTAGCCACAGACTATACATATTATTTACATGTAGAATACTGAATTTGGAGAAAAACGGCAAATATTATCATACAGAATTTTCGATTTCAAAAAAAAAATTGTGTTTGGCAAATGAACATGAAAAAATGATTTATAATTGAGAATTCTAACCATTATACTATTCACTTATGAACTCGTTGGATCTAAGAAATATGACGTGTCTTAATCATAAAAATAAACGTAGTATCCCTTCGCTGACATCGAATTCAGTTTTTATAAAAAAGCTAAGATGAAGTGCTGTGTTAAGTTTTTAATATTTTAAACTTAACGTATTACTTCTACATTTTCATTATAAATAACTAACTATATCTTTCTTTTTTCTAATGAGAGACTTCGGAAGAACTATATGTCCAAGAGTCCACTATGCGATTATAACACTTTTGTGATATGGTGCGTATAATAGCAATAATAACATATGTGGTGTCTTTTTTGGTGTATGAAAATAAGCGAAGAAAAAATCTAATTTGTTAATATTTTAAGAAACAACAATATAACAATTTTTTATTCTGACGATATCAAGCTAAAAACTTATACTCCTCGCCTTCAATCTGTGGCCATTTTCCGCTTTCTTCAAGTGATATTGCAATTTTAAGGGCCTTTATCAGTAAGTTCACATCAACATTTCCTCCGCCTTCCCAGAATCCCATATTTACGTGGATACAAACTTGATAAACATAACAAGAAGCTGTTGATAAAACAATACAATCATTGAATATATTTGCCATTAAATGAATTACGCACGTTTTTTCTTTCATGAATATGCATTTCATTAGGTTACTTCCCGTTGTTCCTACAACAATTTTAATTTTTGCCCATATTTTTACAGTTTCATGAGCTGTTTCAATATAATCAGGGATAAGTTTTATCTCGATATTAAGTTGTTTAGACGCTTCTTCGATAGCGTCTTTAAGATTGTGAATTATTCTCGTTTTTCTCAGCATATAACAGATATCAGTCGGAACTATATCTTCTGCATTAAATTTATGCCTCAAATATATGGACAAATTATACAAAGGAGATGAAGCTATATTTCCTGAAGTTCTTGGTTCAATCATTGTGTAAACATGGTCTGCATAAACCCATTCTTTAATACCCAGGGTGATAACTCGATCTCCAAATCCCATCGCCTCTAAAAACTGAAGCGCGTAAGTTGCATTGTCTCGATAGATAATGTAAGACTTCTTTATAATATCTTGCGGTAATAGAATACAAGGAAGAATAACATCCAGGAAAAAGTGCCCATAGCATTGTAAATTATAGTGGCCAAACGCAACTACATGATTGTAATTTCCTAAAACTGGTCCTGGGAAGTTCCAATATAAATCAATGCCGCTTCGAGCAACGAGTTTAACTCTATGCGTTAAATTATTCAAAGAGCATGCCCCAGAGACGTAAAATTGATGAAAGCATACAATCTTTGTATGAAAATGAACTAAATCTGTATGATATACACATCCTGGATTAAATTTATCATGTACTTTTAGACCAAGCATTCCTGCACCGTAGAAAAGGGCTGTATTATTGTATTTGGGGATAATAGTTTCGTTGTATACTTTAATAACTTCGCATTCATAGTTTGAATTGATGTTATTGTCATGTTTCATGTAATCTATAACACATGAGATCGGAAATGATTGAAAAAAGCCAACATCTGTTTCTGCCATCCTAGTCCTCAGAGCCAATGCCAGAAACAAACAAGCAATCATTGAGAAAATCCATTGATTTGTTTTCATATTTTTTTTTTTTTGTAATTCATGGATTTTATTTAAAAATGGGTCCATTGCCATTTCATTATCTTAAAGTACTTTCTACTGATCTTTGGTACTGAAAGGACAAATTGATTGACCAGAAAACACTCTCAGTTTGACAAATTTTGGTCGGAGGCCACCCCCATAATGGCATTTTTTGTCAAACTGATCATAATTTGCAGGAACGACCCCAATTCACAAACGCATGTCATTCAATTCTCTCGGGATGATCCATGTAATACTTAGATCCATTGACCATAAAACTACTCGAATAATTAAGAATTTCATAATTTAGGCATTTATCGAGTTGTTGCGAATGTATAGAAAACGTAAGAAAATGCTGATCATCACCTCTTCCTTTACAGCTTCTCTCATCGCCATACTTTCTCATGGATTGCGTAAATTAAATAAATTCGTTAATATTTCCTACTTGCATGCCTGCATTAATGGAGGACATGTTCATTATTAAACTTGTATAATTTATTTTAGGGCAATTCTGATCATTAAATGCATGACAAACGTTATCAAATTCAACTTTAACCCAGGAATTACCAATAAGTAATTTGTAGTAATAGTTATCTTCTCGACAAAGAGAAGATATAAATTTTTGTTAAAAACGCGCAAAAGAATTTACTTGAAATGTTGTGTCGAATAAGTCTTAATGTATAACATTATCAATTTCATTTATATTATGAATGAAGTAGTCTCCAATCATGACCTATCTGCAAAACCAAATAAAGATGTTACTTTCCGATTTATATGAGCAAAGTTAAATTTAATTTCCTTATTGAGTATATTCTAGAATTGCTTGGGCTTTTGGGACGTCTTTTTCGTTGGTAAATATTAATCCTTTGTGATCTTTATTAAATGCACGAAGGGAATGAATAAAGAAAACCATTTTTTTAATGATATTAAAAGCTGTCGTGATAACTGCGTCTCTATATGATGAATCATGAATAACTGATGGTATAATACCACATCTATTGCATTCTCTTCTCATTAAAACATAATTTATTTGGAATTCGGGAAATTATAAAAGAAATGAAATAAGCCTCTACTGCGAATTGTATGGTAACAAATAAATCACTATATTTGTCACTAATTCATATATTACCGAATTATTATGTTTAGACATCGAAAAAATAATTTGCATTTCAAGTCCTCTAATTTCATTTTTTGATAGTTGTCATACAATTATTTCTATGCGAATATCCCAAAAAGTCGATGTCATCGATTTTATCGGCGCGAAGCGCTCATAGAAATCAGACAGTATTATATAAGGGACAACACACACATTTTTTACGTAATGAATCTACAATAAATTATCATCCTATATTTTTTATGACTTAATTTTGATAGTATTCGTTCAGAAATATTATAGGTTAGCCCTTCATATTTATGTAAGTCCTGTTAGCTAATTTCTGGGAAAATTAGAATTGTAACTTGAGCTGAAATTGTTTTGGAATGTTACAAGATAAGGAGTGTTAAGGTGAAATGAAGGTAAGTTAATAACTCATTGATCTTTTTTGAAAACTCCTTGAAAAAATATCAATAATTAAATGAAGCATAAAATTTACCACGGTGACGTCAGCTTTACCCCAACCCTGAAAAGTGCACCATGGTATAGACTTTTTTAGATGATATGGACTTTTAATACTGACGCGTTCAAAAATTTTTCAACAAAATATTCCAATACAAACACAATATCTTCGCCAAACTCAAATTGCGCCATACCATATACTAAATCTGATCATTGGTACCAATAGAAATCCTCGAATGCTATTTTTTCGTTTGGAAAATACTCTTAATGGCACACCCGTAAAAAGAAAAAGGGGATGCATCTGGCCAATCCTGCTAAGAAAAAAGAATGTCAGTTCTGACTACTCCTGTTAAGAAAAAGGAGTCAGAGTACTGCATTTCTTCAACAGCTTTTAAATCCCCACCAACATCCATAATAAAATCTACAAGTAGACCAAACACACCTGAATGGATAACAAATTCCGAACATTATGCTCCCATATTAAGTAGCCCAGTTCCTCATAGTAGGATGGAATCAATACAGCAGCCCTCTTCAAGAAATAATTCAAATAAATCAAAACTAATTAAATTTTTAACAAATCCCTTATTTACATTAGTGCTGATTATACTGGCACTTGTAATTGCAGATTATAGACCAGAATTTACAATTCTCGTGTTTCTAGCAATAATTTTATTTATGTTTTCAATGAAATCATTCCTTCTTTAAAGTGTATGATTATATAAATAAAACTAATACTTTGATTATAATATTTTCAAATTGTATATGAACGCTTTCTTTACAGTTTGGGGAGTTTCTCGCGAGATAAGTAATGACATAATCGTGATTTGCTATTTTTCCTTATACTATGGATATCCATATCAATATTGTACAGATTGATTGCAAGCTTTTATTAATTGACGTCACGAAACTTTGATTTCATTCATTTTAATCATTAGGTACTAAAATGAATAGATACCTAGGAAGAAAACCATAATAATATTGTTATCTCTTTGCTATTTTCACGAAAGTTTATAATATTCTGTTGAAATTAATGCGATAATGTAATAAACAGAAATTCATCAAAAGTGACAGCTCTCAATTTTTTGACATTTGTAAATTCTAAATTGAATGAGAAAAATGAAATAATACTAAGCATAATACAATATTCTAGATTTAATTATAATTAGGAAAAAGTTAGTTTTGAGAGCACTTTTCATAGGCATATAGAATGAAATCTTCTGAAAAATAATATCACATAAACTCATATTATTTTCTAATATATAACTATTTTATATAAAAATCAAATTCAATGATCTTAAAAGCGAAGGATAGTAGTATATATGACGGGTTTTGTGACTTTTTTTGTAAACGTAAGAATTCATACAATATTGAACGATTTTGAGTAATTTTCATACAATCGATAAAATAAATGTATGATTCTTACGGTTTTTATTCTTACGTTTTTGAATAAATCGTGATTTAAAAATTTTCAGAATCGTAAGAAATTTTCACAAACCCTTTACATAATGAAATAAAAAAAAAATAAAAAAATTTAAAAAATAAACTTTGAAAATTCATGTCTTACATTTTTTGAATAATTTATTTTTTATTTAATGATAAATGAGTGTCACAACTAACAATGTTAAGAAATTGGGATTCACAAATGAGGAAATAAAGGATATATTAGAGGAGGCGGGTTATGAAGTTGATAAATATTATTTAAGAAATTGTAAAAAATTTGCCAAGTTATTAAATGAATTTGATTATGATGGAAAAATGAATAAAGATGATGTTATAAATTTTTTATATCCTACATCTGAAGAAGAAAAACCTAAAGAACCTGATGTTTTCCCTGAATATTATGAAGAACGGATTAAAGATGATGAATATGATGAAATTGAAAGACTGGAAAAAATAAGAGATGAAATAGATGAAAAAATTAAGGAATTAAGAGAAGTTGAAAAATATAATGAGAATGAAGTAGAGGGTTTAATGAATATCCCAGCTTCAGAATCAGAAGTACAGAAATCTCATGAAGAAAGATATAAAAATTACTTTTTGGAATCAACACAAAATTTATTAGATGGTGAAATAGACGAAACACTTTCAGAAGAAGGCACAAAATTTATTCATAAACATAAGTTACAATTTATTGATAATGAAGAATACCCCTGTATCCTACTTTCACCCCCTCTCGATTCTGAAAAATTCAAAAAAGCATTGAAAAGGGAGAGATGTTTTGACAAAGAGTTTCTTCGCAATGTCAAAGATCACACCTAATACTGTATTAATTTAAATAAATGTACAGGTGTTGATAAAGTTTTTGATTTGTTAGATAAAAATATCAAAAGAAACCATTGAAACCTATAAAATTTTATGTGATTGTGGTTTCATTATTGAAGATACCAATAATGTTTCATATGAAAGAACAGCACCGAAGGAAGACGAAGTGGAAAGGTCTATACCATTCGTTATTAAGAACATAAAAGATATGAAAACTTATAAACATTATATTTATTCATTTATTTCAGAAAAAATGGAAGCAACCCATAAAACATCATCTCATCATTTTATAGCTATTCATACATTCCTTTTCAAAGTTGTGAAATTAAATAAGACAGGAATTAGATTTAATGTATCAGGGTACGCATTCTTGAGTAAATTAAAATGTATTCGTCACGTCGCAGATGATAAAACTTAATATCACATAAACTCATATTATTTTCTAATATATAACTATTTTATATAAAAATCAAATTCAATGATGTTAAAAGCGAAGGATAAACCTCAAAATTTACGAATATAATGAGTGTGAATATAATGCTTATCTATCATAAAACCATATGAAATATCAATTTTTGCTTTACGCCTAATTTTTGACGACAATTAGCAAAAAATGTTAAATGTTAACACTCAGTCCATTTGAATATGAAAAATAAAATTGACTTTGATTAAATGTTTTTATTTATCATGCAATTCTTCTTGCGACCAAAGATTTGAATAAAATTTCAAAAAATAAGATAGCCTAAAAAATAATATACGGTAGTGTTTACTAATAGATGAATAGTATAATAAATTCTATTAAAATGGATTTGATCCAAAAAAATATATAAAATTTGATCATAAATAAAATCGTTTTAAATTACTTTCATTTAAATTATAACAATTATTTTTGGTTTTATATTTTTTTGGATCAAATCCATTTTAATAGAATTTATATACTATTCATCTATTAGTAAACACTACCGTATATTATTTTTTAAGCTATCTTATTTTTTGAAATTTTATTCAAATCTTTGGTCGCAAGAAGAATTGCATGATAAATAAAAACATTTAATCAAAGTCAATTTTATTTTTCATATTCAAATGGACTGAGTGTTAACATTTAACATTTTTTGCTAATTGTCGTCAAAAATTAGGCGTAAAGCAAAAATTGATATTTCATATGGTTTTATGATAGATAAGCATTATATTCACACTCATTATATTCGTAAATTTTGAGGTTTATCCTTCGCTTTTAACATCATTGAATTTGATTTTTATATAAAATAGTTATCTATTAGAAAATAATATGAGTTTATGTGATATTATTTTTCAGAAGATTTTGTGTTCTTCTTCAAAATTTTATTTTTTTATTAAAAAGAATCTTTACAAAATATACATTTACTTTAATTAATATTTAAAAACGTGCTCTATCAAAAGTTCCAAAAATTCAATATTTTAGCTTTTCTGAGGTGTCACTTTTGATGAATTTCTGTTTACAACAATAACATATGTTTATGATATTGTTAAAATCTTCTAGACTATACATATTCAAAATATAGGTAAAATAAAAAAAAAAAAAAAGGAAGTGGGGCTTCCAGGCACTTCGTGCCCTCTAGCCCCGAAGATGTTTAGTATAAATGAAGTTTTTATTCGGAAAATTGTTAGTCTTCTGGTGTGAATTCGGAGGACTCTTCTTCTTCCTCCATTGCTTCTGGGAAGAAGCCTTCTTCTGGGTCGAAAACATTATATAATGTTTCACTTTTCACAAATTATATATGTTTTCATGTTTTGTCACTTTTCTGTCACTTTTCGGGTAAAAACATTTTTATTATTATATATAAATGAATTTTACAAAACCTCCGTTACCGTTCTTTGGAAATAAGAGTAAATGTAAAGATATTATATTGAGAGAACTTAAGAAACTACCGAATGGTCTAACATTTGTAGATTTGTTCGGTGGAAGTTTCTATATATCCAATTTGTGCCATACAATATTCCCAGACTCAAAGATTATATGCAATGACTTCGACAACTATATGGACCGTCTCAAACATATTCCAGACACTAACAAAATATTGAGTGAGTTAAAAGAAAAGATACCTATAGGTAAGATGGAACGTATACCATTAGATAACACAAATGTGAAATATTATCCTTCATCTCTGAAGACAATAACGAACAAAGATGTTATACAGAAATTCTTACCAAAGGTTGAAGAAGCTTCTATTGACATTGACGAAGGAAGTGAAATGGTTGAAGAAATAGACCCTGACGTCATTTAAGCAAAAATATATTTTTGGTTAGTCTTCATATCGATATTTTACAACAATTCCCCAATGTATAAACTTTTCATACGCTTTTTCATAAGCTTTATATACCTTCAGAAATTTTGCATAATCTTTAGAAGCATTTAGATATTGTTTAAATGCTTTGTATGTCTTCAGAAATTTTGCATAATCTTTTACATGTTGTTCGTTCTCTTCTTCTGTCATGAGTTCCGAATATTCTAAATTCATGTTCTTTCATATGAGATAAAATTTTATAAAAAAATAAAATTAGCTTAGATTTTTTTATTCTTCCTCTTTGAAGTTATCGAAATATTCTGTTATTTTTTCCTTCAGTAATGTAAGTCTTCTTTGAATGTAAGTATTGTGCAACCTTTGATGTCATAGTGTGTTTGAGGAAGAGTATTTTTGACAATTTCATTTATTTGCTCATTCGGTGTCATTGAAATCGGTAAGTTTTCACGATAGAACCAGTTTCTGTCAGATTTATATATTTTAGCAAGGTCATAAAAGCTTTGTTGTTTCTTCTGACTAAATGCAACATAACCATATCTCTGTCTTCTTCTTTCTCCATCTTCAGCGTAAATCATATACTTATAACTTTTTCCTTTCCTTTTGGTACTGAACGTGGTATTCTTTTCTGTATGCTTTTGTCTTTGGATTCAATGACTTCATCTTTTGCTTGAAGTTTCTTTTCCATCTCTCCACGTTCTGCTTTATATAGTTCATCTAACATCATGAAAATATAACAAGCATAACGAGGTGAAGCCCACATTGCTACAGCGTTTACTAAAAGTCTATGAACATAATAACCTTTCAAACCAGGTGCCAAATTCTTGCGATTTTCGTACGGAATCTCTTCTCTCGGTTTTCCGAGGGAAGCAATCATATGAGGAAATTCTTCTAAAAGTTCTTTTGTCTGTTGGTTTTCAAACCAATGATATGCTTGCTTTGTAGAACGAAGAGCATTCATTATACTTTGCATTTGGTACATGTCATCTTTGACTGAACGAATGAGACGTAACTGTTTGTTATACTGTATGTATTCGTATTCTTCATTTATGCTTCATGGACTAACTGTTGTTGTGTTCTCTGATGTTGTCATTACTGTCTTTACATACAAAATAAAAAAATAAATAAAAATAAAATTAGCGTTATTTTCTGACTTTCACAAAAGACCAAAAATAAACGCTTTACATGTATTTTTCAGCAACTTCGTCAAATAATTTTATAGCTTTATCTATCTCATCTACTTCAAACGTTTCTTTACCTTTTATGGGAGCACCATACATTTTCTCAAACTTTTCAAGTAGTTCTGTTTCTGCGGCTCTCATATCATTAACGAACACAACCGTGACTCTATTGACTGTAGAGTCATATCTTTGAGTTATATTATATGTCCTTCCTATCTTATATCTTTTTGTGTTGAAGTCCTTCGGTTTCTGAACGATGTAAAGTAAGCCTTCACTGCAACGTTCCGTATCGAATGAACCATAAGTTATGAAGTTATATCCAACAACTGGGTCAATCCATAACAAAACTATTGGTATAAGACTTTTGTCGATGAGATATGCTGTAGTTCCATAGAATCTTACTGATATCATAAGCTCAGGATTTCTTGTCAAAATTTTCTGAGTTGAAGCATTTCTAACCCACTCGTGTGTTTTCTTTCCAGATGGAGATATAATGTCTGACAAAGAATATTTGTTGTATTTCTTTGAGTATCTTACGTTTAAATCACCTATTCTAACCAATTTGGTGTCATTGTCTATCTTTCTAACTGTTTCAAACTCAATGTTTGACATATGTCTTTACATACAAAATAAAAAAATAAATAAAAATAAAACTAACTTTATTTTTTCTATCTTAAGGAAATTCATGATTTTTGTTGCTGAATTCAATAAAAATATATTTTAGGGTAGATGGTTAGATCTAACCTCATTTCTACCCTCTTTTCTACCCCAGTTATTTTATAAACGTTTTACATGGTAAACGTTATTTTTGGAATTTTGTGAAAACTCAACGGTTTGACACGTGCCCTAAAAATTATTTTACTCAGAATTTTGTGCTGAATTCAATAAAAATATATTTTAGGGTAGATGGTTAGATCTAACCTCATTTCTACCCCAGTTATTTTATAAGCGTTTTACATGGTAAACGTTATGAATTCGTGAGACTCTAAACAGTTTTGTAGCCTCTATTTCTTCTTTTAGTACATCGAATGTTTTAACAATGCCGAAGGTTTCTTTATATTTCTTCTTGACATCAGATAATAGGAAATCGTCAGCAGTTGGATAGTTTTTGTTCAGAAATGCTAACATGTCCATTTTATCTTCTGCTGGTTTCTCTACTTCTTTCTTTAAGTCAGCATAGTCGTTTCTCATACGTTCTATCTCTTTGACGGAGTAGTTATATTTCCTCATTGCTGCTTTACATTTTGAACATTGCGGATTCATTTTTGCGTTATACATTGAAATAAAACCAGCTAAAACAACTAAAGCGTCAATTGCTCTCTTCATCTCAAACATAGCGGGTCTTATTTGTTTGTTCCATACTTTGCCTCTTCTATCTTTATCTCTTATTTCCCATACACATTCAGCAACTAACGAAACAAAGTTGTCGTAGGTCTTAAATTCTTCAGATTTATATATGTCAGAAACATTCTTATATACCATGTCGCAATCTTTGTCCATAACCTTATGGTTGCAATGAAATCCTAGAAACTCATAGTTTACCTTTCGTATGAACTTCTTTATTTCTACTGAGTCAGTTGCTTTGACTTCAATTTCGTCGAATTCAGGAATAGTGAGTTTTTGTTGTTGGATTTCAGGTAGTTTGGGTAAATGGTCGATGAGGTCCTGCATTTCATAAAGATACTGTTCATTTGTTTCATCTTTCGCACTACAGTCTAAATTACTTGTTAAAAGTTCTTGCTTTATCTTCTGGATTTCTGTTTCAAAAGTATATGAAGAAGGAATGAAGCTTTTCATCTCTACTAACATAGATGTTGGATTCATGACTAAAGAGTTTGGTGCTGTTGTTTGAATTGTTGTTGTGCCGGTTGTTGAAATCATATCTTTTATACAAAATAAAAAAATAAAAAAAATAAAACTAACTTTATTTTTTATTTCGGGAAAATTCATGAAAATTCAAGAGGGTAGAAATGAGGGTAGAAATGAGGTTAGAAATGAGGTTAGAAATGAGGTTAGATCTAACCATCTACCCTAAAATATATTTTTGGGTCCTTTACACTCATTACGAAGAAGTCTTGACAAAACATTTACGAAGAAGTCATGAAAATTCAAGAGGGTAGAAATGAGGGTAGAAATGAGGTTAGATCTAACCTCTTCACCTAAACATTATTTTTGGGTCCTTTACACTCATTACGAAGAAGTCTTGACAAAACATTTACGAAGAAGTCATGAAAATTCAAGAGGGTAGAAATGAGGGTAGAAATGAGGTTAGATCTAACCTCTTCACCTAAACATTATTTTTGGGTCCTTTACACTCATTACGAAGAAGTCTTGACAAAACATTTACGAAGAAGTCATGAAAATTCAAGAGGGTAGAAATGAGGGTAGAAATGAGGTTAGATCTAACCTCTTCACCTAAACATTATTTTTGGGTCCTTTACACTCATTACGAAGAAGTCTTGACAAAACATTTACGAAGAAGTCATGAAAATTCAAGAGGTGAAAAAAGAGGTGAAAAAACATTTACGAAGAAGTCTTGACAAAACATTTACGAAGAAGTCTTGACAAATTCAAGAGGGTAGAAATGAGGTTAGAAATGAGGTTAGATCTAACCATCTACCCGACATTCTCGTCAAATACAAAAAAATGACACTTTTTCATTAGATAACTGTTATTTTTTGACGAAGTGAAGATTGACACTTCGTCAAAAAAATCCCTGAAATCATGTCTTTACATACAAAAAAAATACAAAAAATGACACTTTTTCATTAGATAACTGTTATTTTTTGACGAAGTGAAGATTGACACTTCGTCAAAAAAATCCCTGAAATCATGTCTTTACATACAAAAAAATACAAAATAAATAAAATAAAACTAACTTTATTTTTTATTTCGGGAAAATTCATGAAAATTCAAGAGGGTAGAAATGAGGGTAGAAATGATGTTAGATCTAACCATCTACCCTAAACATTATTTTTGGTCATGGACTTCGTCCTCGCCGCTTTGCGTCTTTATGTTAAAATAAATGGTACCATTAATAATACATGACTGTTCTCATTCATGTCTGATTTACATCTAATGAAAAAGTTTAGAAGAATTTTCTTATTCTTTCTGGCATATTTTTGTCTTTCCAGTACTCCCGCTCTAATGGTCCCAGATGTGTTGGCTTTGACTCTCTCAAGTTCTTAGATGGTATAACATCTTCAACACCTCCTTCATATCTTACTTTATAAGTGTCATCGTTTATGTTATAGTCAAGTATTTCAATAACCACTCCTCGCTTTGCTTCGTCAATGGTTTCAGCAAGTTTGCCATTACTACTTTCGACTAATTTATGACGAGGGTAAAATGCAATGGAGTCGTCAGCAGCTTTTATAAGATATCCATTACCTTGCGTAGAGTCTACGATATAATAGTTTCTACTTAACCTTAAACGTTTCTTTGTCAACGGTTTGTCGTCAAGGACTACACGAACTTTTGTACCAGGAATGAGGGTAAATTGTGTTGAATTTCTGATATTTTGTGTTTGGCTTCGTTTCTTTTGTATATACTTTTCTTCTTGTTGTTGTGTCATTGAATTTGGTGTATGTCCTGTTGTAGAATGTGTTGAGGAATTATATACTTCGAGAAAATGTTTCATTGTTTCTTCGGTAAAGTCTCGCTCTTGGTTTAAATCTCTGAGAGTCCTTATGAAGCGGTTTATGATGCCGAGTATGTTATGGTTATGGTCTTCAGTAGTGTAGTGAGTTATGTTATGCTTAATGAGAAATTCTGTGATTTCATTGCTGAGGTATGCACTGTCTTGGTCTGATGTTAAAGTACTTGGGTTATGTTCTGCTACAAACTTTTGTAAAACTCTTAACACTTCACGAGTTCCTTTATTTCATTGGATATGCATATGCTTTACGAGTGTTAACATTAATGAAGATGAGGAATGGTTTATGTCCTCCTTTTCTGCTTTGAATGAGAGTGTCAAATTGGTATGCGTCAGGAGTGTTGGAGTAAATTGGTAAAAAGTAGTCGTAAGGGTTTATTTTTGTTTGATGTACAACATTTTTGTCAAAGAACCTTTTCACTTCAGCTCTGTTAGTAAATCCCCAACTCTTTGCAGCTTCATTGAACTTCTTAAATGACCTCCATGGATGTTGTTCGAATACTTCTTTCAAGCTCATTTATGTAAAGTTAAAGATTTTAACCAACTCGTATCCAAGCGTGCATTGTTATATAAGGAGGCATATAATCTTTTCCATTACCTGCTGGGTCTGTAATACCAGCTACAACATGTGTATGATTTCCTGCAGTTCCACAGAAAATACCTGTGCTAACATCTTTGGGGTCATCTGAGATATCATATCTGTTCATTCCCTGTCTATTCGAACCCGCTGCAAGATTTATATAACCTCTTTTTGTTATTGAATGTGAATGGTTTCCTTCCACAGATGTTCTTCCACTGAACCTATGCATATGTGAAGGAAGGTTTTCAATACCTATTTTCTTTGAACCTCCCATCTTCATTGACTGCGTATTAGTGTAGAATGGAAAACTGTCAACTATTTCATACCATCTACCACCAAATAAAGTGTTTGGATTTATTGGATTCATAGACGTATAAACAGCTCCTATAGGATATATTAAATCATATATGCTCATAACTCTATAAACATATTCTAAAGAACTTATGTCATTAAATACCATTTGGAATGTATCTCCCGGATGAAATGTTGCATTTGTTCCACTTTTATAATGTAATGTTAGTTCAATAGAATTATCCAAGAAAAATTCAAAAGTATCTGGTTGAAGACCTCTAACAAATTCAAATGGAGTTGCTGGTTCACCATTTATAATTTCTGTTGTAAATGTCATTGTATCTGGTTTCGAAAATTTCTTTGTTAGTTCTGCATCCACATAAGTTTTATCTGCTTTCTTATCTAACATTGCTGGTAGTTCATGTGCTTCAAAGTTTCTGGCATGACTTCGATATTCCTGCAACTCTTATCTAAATTGTTAAGAGTATCTTTTACGCTTGTACTCGGATTCTCTAAAGGTGCACTTGAACCAAGGTCAAAGTTCAATATTATGTCGTCTGCTCTAACAGTAGTGAAGGATTTATGTGTATGGTTTTGTCGCTTTACTGTCTAATGTAGCTTGAAGTTCATTTATATCGGAGATATTGTGTTTATGAGATTTCAAAACTTTGTTCATTGCTTCGAGTTCATCTTTGTCAGCTTTACTTTTAATAGCATCTTCAAAAGTTATTTTTGACTTAACTCTCAAAGTAAATCTTGGTTCAACTAATACACCGTTAACATTGAAAGTAGAGGCATAAATTTCACCGGTATAACCAAATGCTTCTGGTGCTTTAGCTACATCATACTGTACAGTACAGCTTATGTCATAACCTTTAGCACGAATGTATTTATATCTTCTTTCATTAACATTTTTTGTCTTCGCTTCATCACTTCGTGTTAAATATCCATGATAGTCCGTTATAATCTGTTCATCTGAACTTATATAATGAACATGGTTCTTGTCCGCTTTACTATTTAATGTAGCTTGAAGTTCATTTATATCGGAGATATTGTGTTTATGAGATTTCAAAACTTTGTTCATTGCGTCAAGTTCATTTTTGTCCGCTTTACTATTTAATGTAGCTTGAAGTTCATTTATATCGGAGATATTGTGTTTATGTTCTTTATCTGCTTTTTCGGCTAATTTCTCTTCTATCTCATTTATTTCAAGTTCATGCCTACCACCACCTCCCGAAGAAGTATTTTTCTTCAGCTCTTGAAGAACGTCCACTTCGCCATCTTTGGTGTCAATAATGAGACTTTGAGTTAAAACCTTTCCTGTCTTAATGGATGTTTGTAAAACTTCTTCTTCACCGTGTTCGGGGTCATGGTCGTCATCATATCTTGTGAAATCAGAGATGTTGTCATACATTAAGCATATCTGTCTCAAAAGTTCTGCTATTTGAAACTGGAACGAAAGATATACAGAACTTTCATCATCTCCTAAAGTCAAGTCTGCTTTCTTAAGTATTTCTTGAATGTATGCAATGAGAACAGAGTACCTTGGAAAATATTCGAACAATATTTCATTAGCTGTTGGTTTTGGTGGTTCTTCTGGAGTTTCTGTTGTTTCAGTTCCTTCTGTAGGTTCTGTTGGAGTTTCTGCATCTCTTGACTTCAATGCTCTTGCTCTCAAAGACCTAAATGTTAGAGCACCAGGTTTTACAAAGGACTTTATAAATGCTTTAATAGTTCCTGGTAAGTTATTGTTAGCATTAAGTAAGTTCCTTATGCTTCCATCATGTACGTCCATAGCACTATGTAAAAAATCTATACTTTTCTTGTAGTCAGCAATAGACTGACTGTGATTTTTTAAAGATTTGTCAATACCTTTAAGCCAATCTTCATGCATGTCTGATACTGAGCCAAGAATATCATTTGCTTCCTTTAGTGTATTTTGTGCTTCTCGTAAAGTATCCAATCCCGTACGTGCATTGTTTGCTATACGTCTTACAGTATCTATTTGACTCCTTGTTTCTTGCATCCAACCAGATAAAGTTTTAATAGTATCCGAACCATTTGAAATGAAGTTCAAAGCATTTTTAACGTCATTTAAAACTTCTTCACCAAGTACTGCCCATATCTTTCCGATTTGGTATTGAAGAACTCCATATGAAGCAGCTGTTAAACCAGTATTTATAAGGTCCATATCCATGATTTAGCAGTTTTTCCATCCTTTCCATCCTTTCCATCCAAACCGTTTTCGCCTTGAGGTCCTTGTATTCCTTGTATTCCTTGTATTCCTTGTGGTCCTTGAGGTCCGGTGTCACCCTTCTCTCCTTTCAGTTCATCTTTATGTTCGTTATAATATTCTAATGTCATAAGGTGTACATCATTACTGCTACCAGCAACGCCAAGAATTTGTTTCTCATTCATGACTAAATTCTTTAAGCATTTAATGTTGTCGTCAAATCGAAAGCTCTTTAACAATTCAATGAGAACATTTAATACTTTCACTAATGAGGCATCTACTGTAGAATTTATATATTGCACCGTTCCATCATTTATGATGGAACCTTGCTTGTTGTAATGAATGGGTCATAAGTGTTAAAAGTATCGAAATCAATGACTTTTTTAGTTTTTCCATCGTCAATGACTAAATCATTGCCTTCAATGGTTAAAGTTGAGTTTTCGTTTACTAGTTCATGTGCTCTTCTTGCTTCATTTGTTTCATACGCATATGCAGCAATAGTCATATTTTAATGAGAATAAAATGTTGTTCTATTTGCAAAGTACAGACCCAAACGAATACGGGACAGTAAAGCTACAAACAAACTTAGGTCTTCAGAATGAAGCACTTGCTTTCAGAGTTGTTGACTTCAATACTATCGCAACTTTTGTCATAACAGATGAAACAGATTTCATAGAGATTGAAATAGATGACAAAAGAAGTTTTATAACATTTCCTAACAGAGCAGAGTATAGAATAGATAAAATTGCTGGAGTCATAGATACTCTCATAAATGAAGAAACTATTGACAACATAGATGTCGAACTCTCTTCTGAGGGAACATTGAAGTTCAGTAGCAAGAAAGAGTTCAAGATACCAAGAATGAGTCATAGAGTTCAACTTCTTTTGGAGCATACCATATGACATTTCCTTTGAAAAGTGTTGACAAAACGATTGAGATGAAATCTGTTCCATACGTATGTTATGGCAATTGTTTGTACATTGAGTCAAAAATAGCTAATGTCACAGGTATTTCAGGAGTTAATAGTAAAGGTTCAGTAGAATATAAGTCTTTCTGTTATGCAGTAAATTCAATGTTCATTCCAAACGTTCCTGTCATAGCAACTCATTTAGGTAAATGGGTTCGCATTAGTCCTCATAATTTGAAAGACATGCAATTCAGACTTGTTGACTTTCAAGGAGAGCCTGTAGAACTGAAGGCACCAGTGCGAATGACTGTTGAAGTTGACTTTTTAGAAAATATTAAATGCAACAGCTTACAAGAGAACTCAGAGCTAAAAATATAAAGTATGAATGTTATGTATTAGGTCATGAACTTTGGTTGTTGCTGTTTGATGAAACAAATGAGTTAGTTATGTCAGTCAAGAGAACAGAAAAATATTGTGTTAGTGAAAACTGCACCAAGTCAATAAGATTAGGTTTGCATTATGAAGATGAGTTCGATACTGTTGAAGAAGTTTTGGATAGATATTACAAATTGCTTTAATTTACTAAAACATATTTCAAGCAAAGTTTATATTCTGTTGAAAGTTTTGTATACTCGTTCGAATATTTATACTTAAACTCAACTCCTGTAGTTCCTGGTGTTTCAATGATGCGGATGTTACCTATTTTCATGAATGGTGGCGTTTGACCACAGCATTCGATTTCAGGGTCGAGATAGTCAATGACACATTGTTTTCCCTGTTATTCGTGATATAACATTTTCAAGGTCCTCCTTTGTTAGAATTATTTGGTTCTTGCTTATAAGATTTGTCAAAAGCTTCTTATCGTCTTTGAGTAAAATTGTTTGGTATAACTGAAGAAGGTAATGGTCTACGTTATCTGAAGGATTTGTTTGAACATTTGTGTAAGGGTTGTCGTTGGCTTCTCTTGAAAGAATTTGGTCCAGTGGTGGATACTCTAACTTAACATCTGATGTAGCGTTAGCGTTTGAAGCTGAGTTTAAATTCACCGACTTAAGTTCTGGTTCTTTTTCTTTCAAACACTCCGAACTATAGTTCTTTATGACAATATTGTTTGTCGTTCGTGAGTCAACATTTGATGTTGGTTCAATTGGAACATTAACGGCACCAGCTAAGATGGATTTGCTTCTCATTTCATATAGAATAAAAACCTTTTATATGTATGAAATGAACAATATACTCGACAAGGGTTTGAATGTAAAGCTAACGAATGAAAATATTGTTGAATTCACTGAGACAGGTGCTGTGTATAAAGATGTAGAACTACTGAACAAAAGAGCAAGGGAAGAAGCAGGAACATGAACAAAGGGTGGAAGCCTATAAAAATTTATGTCAATGATGGCTCAGGAGGTTCAAACATAAAGTATGCAGAAAGTTATAGAGTTTATGCTCTCAAAGGTGAAAAGCCTTCATTTAAGAACAGCTATTCTAACGCATATCCTCAAAAGCTAACGGATGGGGAAGTGGATGATATGAATGACAGCAAAAATATTAACAGAAATGGCGACAGAGATGCATGGAATTTGTTTACCATCAGTCAATTGAAGGTTAAATTTAAAACAATGTTGGTCGTTCCCATGGAATATTTTTGACTTTAATGGTATTAGTCATGATATGAATCTCAAGGTATGAACGAGGAGAGATGAGAGACTTATATGCTTCCCAAATTTCTTCAAAAGGTAATGTTATACCTGACTGTTTCCAAATGAGTTCAATATCATAGCGTGAGAAACCTTGAAAGATAACGAAGTCAGTTATGAGACGTTTTATGTTTAAAGCAAAAACGCCATGTTTGCATAAGTATTGCTACAGTTAAATGGTAATGTCTGACTTTAGTTATGATGTTAGCTAATGGTGAGTCAGGCTTTGACACTAAACCTTTTCCGGCGAAGTCGTCACAAACGAGCAGAGTGTTTGAAGGATACTTTTTGAAGGGGTATTTTGAAAGTTTTGACAGAATGTAGTTTGTCAGTCGTTTCATATCGTAAACTCCTGAGTACTGACGTAAGTGGTGTTTGTCAATAATTCTTTCCATCTCTCTGAAGTCTTTTGCATTCCTGACTGTATAAATTCAACGATGGCATAATATTTCCTCTTACGTCGAATGTAACGTTGAAGAAATTCAATGAGTTCACTGTCTGGAACTTTAACGACAGAGGCTTGAACTTTTGACATAAATGTTTTCGCTGTTGAGTCCATAGAGTCTGAAGTTGCTGATATAATGATTTGGTCATAGTAAGAGTCGTTTCCTAAACGCTCTGTTATGAGTATATGACGAATGAGGTTAAATGTCTTACCTGAACCCATCTTTCCACAATAGAAATAAACACATTTGAACAGAACTCATAGTCCTTACTGAAAGGAAGAATGAGAGAAGAGTTAAGTTTGTCTGTAGTTTCATTCATGTCTTCATCTACGTCATGTATTAAATGCTTCATTTTATCTCCATTAAAAATGCAAGTCAGAAATATTCAGAACATAGCACCGAGTCTAACTGACAAGAGTATAAAGATATACTATGAACACGTTATGATGAAACCTACCAAAATTCAAGAAAGTCAGTATACTTATGAATATCCAAGACACTGGGTAGAGTATGTAGGAGGTGAGAAAGCTATTGAAATCAGACAGGTTCGAAGTATTCCAGCAGGAAGAACAATATTATTGAAGAACTTTAATGTTTTGAGATATAATGATGAAACAAAGAAGCAAGATAGTTTCCCTGTTGCTGTGTATGTGAACTTAGATACAGGAGATGACATGAAAGTTTTTAACACAAAGCTTCAAATGGTAGTGAGAGAACAACTGACTGCGGAAGGACATCCATTACCTTCAGAAGTTACCATAGCATATAATTTTGAAACAAACTCAATAGATTTTAAAGTCGTCTCTGCAAAGAAGTCAGGTTTTACATTTAATGAAGCAGATGTATATTCGAATGAAAACTTCAAAGCTATTGCATGGTTAGATAATGACGATTGCTTTAAGAAAATCTTTAAATTCAGTGACTCAAAGATGTCAATAGATGACCTTCGTGGAATGTTACCATCGACGTTTACAGTTGAAGGTTCAGCAGGATTGCTTACAAGATTGTCAATTGGTGGTTTTGGTCTCGTGAGAACATTGTTATAAAATCCAGTATAAGTGAATTTGCTGAAGAATCTATATTATGTCTTTCAAACTACATGTATTCGCCACCGAAGCATTATAGTATAACAAACTTTGTCAGTAAGTTTAACATAAGACTTGTCGAACCTTCTTCAATGAAAGATGTTGTGCTACCTAAAGATGGAAAGGATGGACTCATTATTGAGATGATTTTAATAGCATATTAAATGAGCTTGTTCTTAAAGGTCATTCATGATGAAATAACTGTTGTAGAAGATGTTAGCAATTGTTCAGACATTTTGAAGCGTATAGATGATATAAGAAAGAAGTTAGATAGACCGCAAAGTGGTGAGGGCGAAGCCCGTGAGAACGCTTATGTTTCATTGACTTTCTCCAGTAACGAGAACTTTTATGAGATAATATTGAAGAGAGATGATTTTAATATGGTGTAAATGGTAGATTGGGCAGCTTTAGGCGCAATGGGAACAAAAGCATTAGCATTTGGAGCAAAAGCACTTGGAGCTTATGACGCAGTAAATAAAATGAGTGGAGGAAGGGTTTCGAAGACATTAGATGCAAATAAAGGGAAGATTGGAGGCTGGGTTGCAAAGAAGTTAAGATTAAATAAAATAGGGCTCATAAATAAAGCATCCAATTTGGTTGCGACTGAGTCAGAAAATGCTTTAGGAAAGGACGATGAGTTTGCAAAACACGCAAAAGACTTTAATGACCAGATGAAAGGTGAAACAATGCATTTAAATAGAGTCGATGGAACTAAAGAAAATGTTTCTTCTCCACCAGTAGTTCTTCCGTATGGTCCCTATGGAATGTATGGAAACCCTTACGAAAGACCATTTGACCCATTGACTGGTGGAAGTAACTGGTATCATTACGGACGAAGAAGAAAGACAGTTAAGCTGGAGACAGACGTGAAGAAAGCAACTAAAAAGAAACCAAGGAAGAGAGTTATAAAGCAATGAATTCAACAGGTTAGAAATCGGGTTAGAAAAGAGGTTAGATCTAACCACTTCACCTAAATTTATTTTTGTGCTATGTTTTCATACGTGTGAGGGTGGTGATATCATTAATTTTTAAGTTTATTTTTTATTTTATTTTATTTTTATTTGGATGTAAATGACAGAACAAAAGCAACTCATACAAATCGAAAAATATAACAAACATACATTTAAACATTTATTCTTCCTTCCTGAGCATAACATGTTCTTTCAAATACATCCGAGACCAGTTGACTTTTCATTGACTGTGTATAAAGATAGAAATAGTTATATCATTAAACCATATGATGACGAATAAGTTATGTAAATTGTACGTTAAGAAGTTAGAGAAAGTTTATGGCTTCAAGTATGACTACAATAGGGTTAACACTGATGATGAAGATATTGAGGAAAATTTATGAGAACATTAGTGAAGTCGTTAGTGAGAACGTTTATTTTTTACATTAGTGAGTTCGTTAGTGAAGTGAAGTGGGTGGCTTTGTAAATATTTAAGGTTATGTTGAGTAAGGTGGAACGCAGTGCCGCCGTACCCAACATAACCATACTAACTATATATATTTATATGATTTGATTTAAAAAAAATAAATAAATTAATAAATCATTTACTCAAATATATCAAAAGTTTTATTTTTATATATAAAGATAACTACTTTTAAAAAAAACCTTATATATTTTTGCCATGTAAACTATTTTTGCCATGTAAACTTGTCACTTTTGTCAAAAGTGAAGTGAACTGAATTTTCATGCACAACATTTTTCGGGAAAAAAATATTTTCAGAAGAGCCTTAACGGCTAAGTTTTATGTTTAATGTTGAGTATCAAAAAGAATGGGCATCTGATATAGCCATCATATATCCCAGAAGCAAATAAAAATTCTGACTTTTTAAGCATAAAAAATGAAATTTTATTTTTTGCAAAAAACAGGCCACCCGGATGTACGTTTATTTGAGAGGAGGAGGATTAAATGTTTGAAAGCACTAAAATTTGTAAATATGCTAGTTATATAATAATATGCATTATTTTAAAAAATAAAAATTAAAGCACGTTAAAATCTTTTTTGATGAATTTTAACAAAAGCTACTCAGGATAATGCAAGATATGAGTAGTTAAACATAAATTTCAAATCAGATTTTACTTATAATAAATATTTTAAATTTCCGAAAATTAAGTTCAGATCGACTCTATACGTAGTAAATACTAAATAAGGTGCCAAAAACCTATTAAACAGTATCAAAACTATCAAGATTGTAATGTTTTTGAAGAAAAATTTATAGAATTATGGACTTCAAACAGATATTATGTAAATAAAAATAATATAATGAATTTATTTATTCGTATAATAGCAGTAATAAGTCGATTATTCACTTCTACTTCTGAGATTTGAATTTAATTTCGACAGAAAAAGAGATTCAAGAGGAAAATACTAGGGGATACAAACAGCCACCATGACAGGATTATTATGGAGCCAAGTTGTATTTTTTGATATTTTTAGAGTTTTCCTACCTATTTAGGTACCAAGTTATTGCTTAAAAATTAAGGTTCTAAATTCTGAAGTTTACATGATCCTCCCGGGCGCACCCTGAAAAATCTATCAATTTCTAATTCATGATCGATCATCAATATGATGAATTTGGATTTGTTAGACTATATGATGATGAACACAACATGATATATTATGAGAAAGTTAAGAAACAAATAGCTCAAAACGACAAAGTTTGGTTTAAATACACAGAAACTCAAGGAGGTTCATCTCATTTTAAGTTAGACGACAAGAAATTTAAGAAACAAATACGAAAAGGCATTCCAATGGAAGTTCGTCCTCTAATTTGGGCAAAAATTACTAAACTTTACGAGATAATGGACGCCAGAGCTAATATATGGGATGAAGCTCCATCGAAATTCAATACAATACACGAAGACGTCAAAAGGACCATTGATGTTGATATTCCTCGAACGTTTCCAAGAAATAAAGCTTTTTCATCAGAATATCTCAAAAAAATTCTTTACGTATTTGCAGTTGCCCATCCTGAGATCGGTTACTGCCAATCTCTTAACTTTGTTGCCGCAATTTGTTTATTTGTTATGAAGAGCGATATACAAGCTTTTTATTTACTCCTGATAATTGTCGAGAACTACCTTCCTAAAGGCTACTTCACACCCGACATGAAAGACTACCAAACTGACATTTGCATGTTACAAATTTTAATAAACGAGAGACAGCCAGAAGTAGCGGCCATAGCGAAAGCCGCCAACTACCAGTGGGCCCAGTGCACTAGCAACTGGATCCTTACCCTGTTCTCCAACACCCTTCCCGTTTCTACAGTGATGCGAATCTGGGATTCCTTCTTCCTCGAGGGACAAAAGGTGATTTTCAGGGTAGCGCTGGCCATCCTAAAGATAAACAACGACCTGCTTAAGGCAGCAAAGCCGAGTGACTTCACAAAAGTTCTAAAAACCGTTCAAGGCTCAATTGTCGACCAGGAGCAGCTAATGACGACAGCGTTTGGGCTGAAGGCGTTCTCCAGGGCGCACTTGAAGGCCCTGAGGGAGAAAGCTGTTGAATTGGTCGAAAAAAGTGGTCCGACAGTTGATGGACAGCCAATTTCGGCTTTCCACTCCTTTTTGGGGAGAATGAATATATAAATAAAGTGTTTCTATAGTTGATCTAATGATGGACAGTCTGTATCGATCTGAACTTTGACATTTGATTCATCATCTTTTTCTTCGTCTATGTTAACGAATACTTCGCTCGCAACGTAGTAGTCTGGATTGTATGAGTTGATGTCTTTGTAGATTTTGGTTAATTCTGTTATGAATTCATGCTCAAATTGAGAAAATTTAAAAATTGCTTTGGTTTCTTCGATTTTCATGCGAGACGAAAGCTTTTTTGTAGCTTCAATAAATACGGATATCTTTTCTGTATATATCTGATAGTGCTTTTCAACATTTTCACGTAAATTATTTAAAATATATTCGTCGCTGTTTTTGTTAAAATGGATATCGAACTCGTCAGAGAACTTCTTGTACATAGAATAGTTCGTTTTGATGGCATTTCTTACGTTATACAGTTCACTCCCGTCAATATGGATTTTGGTAAAAGGAGTTCTCAGCTCAACTGGTATTTTTTGGGCAGCATAGAGATTGCATAAATCACTTATTTTGTCGGTGCATACTTTGAATGCATTTACATCTTTTAACAAGTCAGAAGAATCAACTTTGTAAGCTACAGTGTATAAATCTGCAATTTTACTTAAAGATTGCGATGCCTTTAGTATACGTTTCGAAAGTCTAGTGAGTGAATTATTAACATCATTTGTGTGCTTCATAATAAATTGAAATTGTTTATTACTTTCATTAAATTCTGGTGAAATGTCGATAGTTTCTATTCCAGTATCATCTTTAATGACATCTAATCCAGTTAATATGTTTGCTTTGGCAGTAGACCAAAAGTAAGACGCATTTTTGAAGAAATTCTCCATTTTTTTGAGTTCTCAATATAAAACAAACTTTGACATTTGTAAAGTTAAAAATCGAACAAATTGGATGGAATTAGCAAAGGTATTTATATGCGTCCAATCTCCCTATGTATTTTATCAAAAAAGCCTTCAATTGGACCCTGCAACAGAACATAACCATCTATACTTTCTCAATGCATATTGATTCGGATGAACCCTCTTCAGGCTGATTATATTTTTCAATTTCAGTAAATGTCATTAAAAACCATTCACAGTAATAGGATAGCTTCTAAAATGATTAAAACCATGAATTACGTTTACAGAAGCATATATTAAAAAATGAAATTTCGATTAGATAGTAACTAGCCAAAATTTTTGTTATATAATCAGATGTATAAATTACATTCAAATGGTAAATACACATTAGAAATATACAGTAATTCGGCTTATATAATAATAAATTGCGATATTAAAATGCTTTCATGAAGATTTTAGAAGCAATTTATCTTTTCCTTACTAGGTAATATTCATTCACCAATCAATTACTCTGATTTCATGAAATTTATTTATTATTGAAATTTGAAATCTTATCACAATGTTATTGTTTGATATCACAAACAATAACCATTATGAAGTGTTTACGGATACACTTAGATACGATTATTATATTTACTTGTTATTAGTGAAATAAAAACGATATTTATTTACTTGAAAAAATATAGAAATTCCTAATGAACATATCATTTTTATCATAATATCCGGGATGTAGTTTGCTTTGTATTGAAGAATAAAAATATTTACTATGGGAATCGAAAATTATTGTTTTTTTTTGCACTTGGAAAAGATTCATATTCAAAATTTGGACAATAATACTTCATCTTGGTTTTCAAAAAAAAATCAAAATCCTTTTTTCCATGTGAAAAATCAAATATTTTATTTAGATTTTTCTTTTTTCGAATTTTTTTTAGAATTTTCATATGTGAAATAGAACAGAATGAGTACCACAATTTTATTTTTTATCATATGATATGATGAATATAACGGTCAATTTTAAAATATATTTTCAATTACAAATATCAATCCAAATAGTATGCAATTTTGAAACAAATGTATTAGATTATGAATAAACGTAAGATAAATCAGTAAAACATTCTGATAAAAAGTGTATCAATCAAGTTTTAAGTCTAATATATTCAATTTATATGATTAAAAACGTAATTCTAAGATTGTATCGAACATATGAGATTTTTGATCTGCTTGTTATAACAAGATCATGATATCATAAGCTTTAATTTTATATTAATATTGTAAATTGTATCAATTCTATTGAATTATTTTGATATATGATTCATTTTATGATATAAAACTGATTTACTTCTTGTATTGAATCCTGCAATATCAATATTTATGCGATTTCTGAAGATAATTCGTGAGTAAATATAACTCTAGATCATAATAGCTAATTTTCTTCAAACTCAGCATTTTACACATATATGCTATGTGTAGCTTCTATCCAGAGTTTCAGGCCAAAATTTTTGTTGGAAGGAAGTAATTGTAACTTTGAATTAACCTCGACTTTCAACTTGTAAAGATGCTTCACAGCCTTTGATTTTGCCAATCATAGTGCTGCGCTATCAATTTCAGAAAGTGATTTGGTAGGCAAATCTCCAATTAGTGTTGCATGATAGTTCTGCAAGTCAGAAATAAGATATTTGTGGAGCTTAGTCGCTAGGATATAGTAGTTTAGCTGCATAAGTATCGTGCTTCTTTATATATTAGTTATAGCCCTCACACGTTACGCTACTATTCTGATGGGGCAGTGCTCCTTACGAAGCCTCTCAATGAATAAGAGACTTCGTAAAAATTTTGCTTTAATGTTTCAGTAATTAATCGAATAGGACAAAGTTTTTCCGAAGTCCCTCAATTGATGAGTAGTCTCGGAAGAACTCTGCCCTAATGTGGTGCACTAATAGTCTGACCATTTGTGTGTCAGAGAATTTAACTTTACTCGAATAGAGAAATGCATCAGAGTAATTACATCCTGATTGTTCCCTACCATTTGAGTTATTCTAATTTTTGAATGAAATGTGCTATTAAAAAAGTTCATGTCGTATCAAATTCATCGAACACAAAATTCTGTCACTTTTTTAAAGTATTTAAATGTCTGAAGTTCAAAGGATTCTTAATTGCAAATCGTATTATGAAGTTCTTCAAGTCAAAGAGAACTTTAAGAAAGACGAACTGAAACAGAATTATCGCAAAATAGCTGCACTTGTTCATCCTGATAAATGTCAAGATCCAATGGCTACAGAAGCATTTCAAAAAGTCACAAATGCATATTCAACTCTTAATGATGACACAAAAAGAAAACTTTATAATCAGGTTAATAAACAAGAGCAAAATGATATTAGTCAAGAAGATTTGCAAATATATGAATATTTGATCCGTGAATATATAAAGAAGATATTTAAGAGACGTTTGAATTGTACTGATATTGATTCTTTCCAGTATTTAATGTCATGGTTATTTGCTGATTCAGATTTAAATCCTAAGAAAACAAAATCAGAAAAAAAGAAAGAAGAAAAACTAAGAGCAAAATTAGGAGAAATTTATTATAGAAGCTGGTATGAAATAGCAACAAATGCTGAAAAGGAAGAAGCAGAAAGCAAAAAGAGAATAATAATAGTAATAGCTATAGTTTTAATAATAATTTGTTTTCTGATTACTCATTTATAATTTTTTTCGAATTGAGATTTTGGATTTCAGTAGCAGTTTAAATATATCTTTTAAAGTAACCAGATTGACTGTTGCTACAAGGAAATGATAAGCGATATAATTCCATTGCATTATTGCTCAAATAAAATCAACCTGAAAATAAAACGAATGCAACAACTTTTTTTCATGTTGTGAGCTTTTGCAAATTGCTATTTTCCTTTTTTGGATTAGGGCCAGAAGCATTAAAGGAAATGTGTTCTATCTTCTATTTGAAGACTTGTGCAATTTATACACTTCCAGTAGATCTTCAGTATATTATTAAAAAATCCTCACACTAAAAAATACCAAAAGGAAATCAATTGCTTATATTTATTTCGGCAAAGAATTGAATAACATTTTATTACCCTTATATTTATGATTGACGAACGAGCAATGAATATCATTTAAAATATATCATGTATAATAATTAATTACAAATATTAGTTTGCTTGATACTGTGTCAAGCACTCAATCACACGTGGACTAAACATAGATTTTGTGCAGTGTTGCTATGAAAGATATCAATTTTTTATTCGATGATAAAATTGATTTCAAGACTTAGATAATTCACAGTCATATCTAAGTAAATTCATAACACATAAGTATCTCAGAAGTGTTGCTCTACTAAAAGTCTTTTTGTTATCACATTAGATAAATAATTCATTTCATTGTATAATTCAAGCAGTATCTAATATAAACCTGCTTTTGGTTCATGAAAAGACAGCATATCTCCATAAAATCAATGAAGGATACGTTTAACAAGCAATAACAAAATTATTTTGGCCGATAGAGTTTCAAAATCTCAAAAATTCGTACTAACATATATCGCACAGAACGAATACGCTCTATATCAATCATCAAAAAAAAGTTAGGAGCAAAAAAAAATTGAGAGCGAATGGTCGGCCACTCGCTCTATGTCTGGTAAAGGACTTGGTGCACAGGTTGGTGGTAAGGGATCATGGCGCCGCAAAGTAAAGAAAGCTCCAACAGGAAGCCAAAATGCTGATAAGCTTTGGCTCGCCGCTCAACGCCAGGGTTGCCGCGATATCGGTGAGATCGACTCTGCTTCAATGATCATTGCTGGCCAAGAAAAGGGCCTTCAATTCACAAAGCCAGAGCTCGCTATTGACATGCGTGCTAACACATACGTTCTCCGCGGCAAGCCAGAAGAGAAGCCACTCGTTGATCTCCTTCAGAACCTTCTCGCTGGTATGGGCGTCCAGGCTAAGAAGCCAGAAGAGGCCAAGGAAGAACTCGGCAATGTTGAAAATGTTGATTTCTCAAAGCCAGAAGAAGAGAAGAAGGAGTAAATTTATGATTACATAAACACCCCTGTTTTCAAAAGAAACACGTGTTTCCGCTTAAAATGATAGACATATTATTAATTTTCAAATTTTATCTTTTTTTTAATGTTTTTGATAAGAAATAATAAGTAGTATCATTTGTTTTCAATAAATATTTGGATTAATTCCAAATTTAATGTAATATTGAATTTGGACCATAATTTGTATTAAGTTTCGAAAGTTTTTTTACCAGGAAATAATAATATTGATGAAAGACTATCCCATATCATAAGTAGACGAATCATGACAAATGATTTAATTGGAGATTATTGAAAATATGTTTTCCTTTAAAATTATGAAACCATTAGATATAAGATGCACAGTTATGAGCAGTTGCATCGATATCAAGCTCAGTTGGTTGAATCCAAACAAATCATATTCAAAAAATGTGGAGTTGGGATATATCTTTAGTGAAACTGTAATAAACAGAAATTCATCAAAAGTGACAGCTCTCAATTTTTTGACATTTGTAAATTCTAAATTGAATGAGAAAAATGAAATAATACTAAGCATAATACAATATTCTAGATTTAATTATAATTAGGAAAAAGTTAGTTTTGAGAGTACTTTTCATAGGCATATAGAATGAAATCTTCTGAAAAATAATATCACATAAACTCATATTATTTTCTAATATATAACTATTTTATATAAAAATCAAATTCAATGATCTTAAAAGCGAAGGATAAACCTCAAAATTTACGAATATAATGAGTGGGAATATAATGCTTATCTATCATAAAACCATATGAAATATCAATTTTTGCTTTACGCCTAATTTTTGACGACAATTAGCAAAAAATGTTAAATGTTAACACTCAGTCCATTTGAATATGAAAAATAAAATTGACTTTGATTAAATGTTTTTATTTATCATGCAATTCTTCTTGCGACCAAAGATTTGAATAAAAGTTCAAAAAATAAGATAGCTTAAAAAATAATATACGGTAGTGTTTACTAATAGATGAATAGTATATAAATTCTATTAAAATGGATTTGATCCAAAAAAATATATAAAATTTGATCATAAATAAAATCGTTTTAAATTACTTCTTCATTTAAGGGTGCACACGAGATGATCATGTAAACTTCAGAATTTAGAACCTTATTTTTAGGCATTATCTTGGCTACCTATTTAGGCTCGAAAAGCAAAAAATATCAAAAAATACAACTTGACTCCATTATGACCCTTTCATGGAGGTAGTTTTTATCCGCTAGTATTTTCCCTTTGAATCTCTTTACAATTCGAAATCAAATTCAAACCTCAGTAGAAGAAAGGAAGAATCGACTTACTACGGTTGTAATACGAATAAATACATATATTTAATTATTTTTATTTACATAATAATTGTTTGAAGCTCATATTCCATCAAATTTTTAAATAAAAACATTAAAATGTTGAAAATGTTCATATATTTTAATAGGGTTTTGGCACTTTATTGAGGAATTACTACATACATAGTCGAACCGAACTTGATATTTTGAAATTTAAATTATTTATCAAAATTAAAATTTGACTTGAAATTTATAATTATTTAGTCATATTTTGCATAATTCTAAGTAGATTTTGTAAAAAATCAAGAAAGAAAAAATCGGCAAACCCAAATTTTAGCTAAAAGTGACAGGAAAAAAAACGTTTAGTATTAAAAAAAAAGACCGATGAGAGCTTCGTTCGAAATATAGAGGGAACTGAGAATGCGCAACCATTCTCAGGGAATATTGGATGCTATTCCCGTTCCCTCTGTATGGAAAATTGAGGTTTTCAAAGGGAGTTAAAATAATATCAAATTTATACTAATTTACTTCAAAATACAAAAGTATTTGACAGCTAAAATTAGTTACTTTAGCAAGCCTATCAATACCCTTTTACGATTATTGCTACTTTTTCGAAATAAAAGTAAAAACAAATTTATACTAATTTACTTCAAAATACAAAAGTATTTGACAGCTAAAATTAGTTACTTTAGCAAGCCTATCAATACCCTTTTACGATTATTGCTACTTTTTCGAAATAAAATAAATTTATTATCAAAAACCTTTTTTAGTAAAAATAAAAATGTTATTTTATATCAAGTTTTTATTCATAAATTTTTATAATGTTGTATAAATTTCATTAAAATTTACGTACATATTAAGGTACTTATCTTCTACATATATAATCTTCATTAGATATATACATGATAAATAAAATTCATAAAACATTAAAAATCAAAAAATTAGATGAACCTTGGCAATTAAACTTTATTAAATAATAGTTGTTTATAAATTATATTATATTATTATTTAATATTATTTTGATAATGAAGATTTTATTTTGCAATAATATAAACGAAATTTTTTACCTTATGAACTTTTGATGGAAATATGCAAATTTAAAATAATAAAGAAAGCCGCGAGCGAAGCGATCGGCTTAGTTCGAAGATTTTGATTCAAATCTTTGCTGATCTGTAATTCGCGGAAGCCGCGAGCGAATCGAGCGGCTTAGGTCTAAGATTTTGATTCAAATCTTCGCTTATATTCCTTAAATTCTTTATGAAACTCGCAACAGTTCCATAAAAAATTTTAAATTCTAAACTGTCGAAATTACCGATCGGTAATCACACCCTTCACGGGTGTATCACTTTTAGCTAAAATTACCCCTACTCGAAAAAATTTAACGTTCTTTATTTTTTCTTTTTTATAATAATACATATTATTATATAATTAACATATTCATAATGTTTCACCCTTTCAAAAATATAATCCCCCTCCTCTCAAATAAACGTACATACGGGTGGCCTCTTTTTTCAAAAAATTAAAATTTGAAATTTTGGGCTCAAATATTAGAGATTTTTTCAACCTTCAACGATATATGTTGTCTATATCAGACCTCCTTTCTTTTTGATACTTAACATTGTTCCTAAACCTTAGCCGTTAAGGCTGTTCTGAAAATATTTTTTTTTCGAAAAAATTCGAAAAAAATTCTTAAAATTCAAAAATCCCTTAATTCCTGAGGATTTTGGAAAAAAGTTTTTACATGAACATGTGTATATTATATGAAGTATATTGATAAGGTAAAAATCAAATTTTATTGCATATTCATCGAGAAAATAAACTAACGAATCCCTCAAAATTGAGAGGGTAATCCTCCTCCTCTCAAATAAACGTACATACGGGTGCACCCTTAAATTATAACAATTATTTTTGGTTTTATATTTTTTTGGATCAAATCCATTTTAATAGAATTTATATACTATTCATCTATTAGTAAACACTACCGTATATTATTTTTTAAGCTATCTTATTTTTTGAACTTTTATTCAAATCTTTGGTCGCAAGAAGAATTGCATGATAAATAAAAACATTTAATCAAAGTCAATTTTATTTTTCATATTCAAATGGACTGAGTGTTAACATTTAACATTTTTTGCTAATTGTCGTCAAAAATTAGGCGTAAAGCAAAAATTGATATTTCATATGGTTTTATGATAGATAAGCATTATATTCCCACTCATTATATTCGTAAATTTTGAGGTTTATCCTTCGCTTTTAAGATCATTGAATTTGATTTTTATATAAAATAGTTATATATTAGAAAATAATATGAGTTTATGTGATATTATTTTTCAGAAGATTTTGTGTTCTTCTTCAAAATTTTATTTTTTTATTAAAAAGAATCTTTACAAAATATACATTTACTTTAATTAATATTTAAAAACTTGCTCTATCAAAAGTTCCAAAAATTCAATATTTTAGCTTTTCTGAGGTGTCACTTTTGATGAATTTCTGTTTACAACAAAACCAAGATCTGCTTATCATATATATGATAAAGATATCAATTCGAAGATATATTTGCAACGAACCATTTTTTCCAAACCGTATTTTCAATCTGTCACATCGTTGCGAAATCATTTTTGTTATTTATATAGTTAATAGTAATATTTCATTAAATAGGTGAAATTTTATGCAGATCAAAATGTAATTTTTTTTGAACCGTTTGCCATTATTGGATATAGGTAAACAACATTTATTCCGAAACTAATTTTTGTGGTAGTACGATTATTCTCAATAGAATTTAGATTTTAATTTGTTTTGAATTATATCAACATTTTTGGTATTTTAACAATACACAGCAAATAGTGTTATTCTTATATTTAACATTCAATTTTTCAGATGAAAAATTTTCATGGATAAATATCAAAATCGCTAATCTTTGAATTCTAGTTACTATTCTTATTTTTGGCGGTTGATATTTTCTATACTAAAAACCGCACTAATAACCGTTTTTGACGAGTTTTGTTAAGCTTTTGCCATAACTTTTAAGATGGCTTTAGCAATTGCTTCTGGTATCATCTCTTGCCTTGCAGGCGCTCTTAAAATCGCCTCTGCTTTCAAGACACAGTCCTCAACACAGATCGTCGGATCTGGCAAGGGCACAGGTTTCTTCAAATTCTACTCCAACTCTGCTGTTGGCACACGCTCAATCGCTGCAAGAAGCTGCGGCGCCTACATCGACCGCATGATTTCCAACATCATGGCTGACCAGTCAGCCATCGTTCAGGCTCACAAGCAAAACATCATCAACGATCTTACAGATATCAAGGACTTCGAATCCTACGCTTGGGGCGACTGCGACAACATGGTCAACACAGTTTCATACGAAAAGGCTTCTGGCTCCCTCTACATGTACATCTACACATTCTCTCCATTCATCTCTGATACACGCGGCGAAGGCGTTAGAGTATCTAACATGAAGATCCACGTTGATTTCGTTATGCCAAAAGACTGGATCATTGTTTCCAAGATCAAATCCTCCTTCTTCAAGTGCACAATGAACCAGGAAATCCAGTACCTTGATACAAAGTCTATCCAGATGTCCGATGTTATTGAGGCTGTTGCTATCGCTGTTGCTCCAGCTGTCCTCGGCCTTGTCAAGCTCCCAGAACGCTTCCTTAACGTTCTTGACACAGTTATCAAGTCCCAGATGGCCAACCCAGACAGAGGAATTGTCACAGCTCCAACAGCTGAACAGTCCGCTCAGGCTTACGCTCAGTTCCAGGATATGAGAAACAAGCAACAGGAATACGACCAGCGCGCTTCTGAGGGCTTCTCTGACATCAAGGCAGCTATCGATGCTCTCGGACAGAAGGGCCCAGAAACCCCAGCTGCCTAAAAATTTCACTAAGTCAATAAGTTTCTTATTAAACTGGTGACCACCAATTTTCTATAAATGGTTTTTGAATTACTTTAAATCTTTGGATTTTACTACTAATTCGAGATGAAAAGTAAAAAAAAACATTTCGCAATTTTTGTTTTACGTTGTTTAATTTCACTCCCATGTTTGAGTTATTTCACATATCTATCATCGATATGTCCGATCTGTACTGTGAATTGTCTGATTTCTTTTTTTTGATATGAATTTGAAATTTAAGAAACACGAGACTATAATGGTACGAATAAAATACACTCTTAATATAAAATTCATTGCTTGAAGTATTAGTGTAAATCTCCAAATATCATTTTCATAATTTCGGTTTCTGAGCTTTTTATTTTAAGATATTGAAATAATTTGATGTTATGAATTGATTTACTCACTAGGCCAAAATCTAGTATTTTCAATTTTTTATGGATGAATCATTTTCGCATCTTTGCACTGAGTTAAAAAAATTCACATCCTTCAGGGAATCGGAAGAAATAAAAGGCCCATGTAATGAATCTCTGCAAATGGTTTCACAAAAACAGGTGAATTTGCCAATTTCAACCGGAACATCTCCTTTTGTTAAGGCTATCACCTCAATCTTACGTAGCAACAAACCATCAAATACTATTTATTCACTAGTTAACATACTATTTGACTGCATTTCTCATGATGTTTTCGTTGATTCTGCACTATCAACAATTATTCGCGAATTTGATCAAATCCATAACATTGACAACATAGAATTTTCACTAAAAATCATACAATTCATGTCAAGTACACTTCAAAAACACTTAGTTAACTTAAATTTGATCAAATCTCTATGCTCAATTGTTTTAAACTTTTTATCTAGCAAGCATACGATTGTTGTCAATTCATCCTACGCAGCTATACAACAAATGATTTCAACAGAGTTCAATTTCATCCAAATTTCGAAATACGAAAATTTAAATCCAGAAGATAAGAATAAATTGAAAGTCATTGTCAAAAATGGCCTTTCATCAAAATTTTCAGATCCTTTATGCGTTATTGCGTATTTAATCATAAATGATGTAGTAAACTTGCTTTTAGGAAAGAATTCGATGTGGCTACACATTTCAAACATTCCATTCGACATACTTGTGAAGCTCTGGGAAGCAATTTTAATGACACAGTCAACATTTTTGAAAACTTCTCATCAATTTATAAAAATTGTTGAGAATAGTATTTCTAACATACCAATATCCAACTCTGTTATACATTTAGATGTTACTTTTTGCAAAATGTTTTATTCTGATTCATATGAAGCAATTAACGATTTATTAACCAAATATTTGGAACTATTAGCACCAGAATCAGACAAAAAAGTGATTTCTTTATCATTTTTTAGAGAATTGCTGTTAGAAGATGAAAACTTTTTTATTAATTTCAAAAATTTAGAAATAATTACAGATTTATTGAAGAAACTCGACACGATCATAGACACTAAACAGTGTGAAGGGCCAATTGACTTCAATTTCTCTCAAAATACTGAAGAATCAAAAAATTTGTTAATTTTTCCATGCGAAATCTCAATTCTCCTTGTCAATTACTTAATATCGAACAAGGAGATTGAGAAACAAACCATAGTTGGCCCAATTATATCAATTATTATCAAATTATTAAGAATTTGCAATAAAAACAGCTGTGAAACAGTTTTCCGTACTTACAATGGACTTATTACAGAACTTACTCCTGATTTCCCAGAATATCAATTGATTTTGTTGAGAATTTTGTGTTCAATTATTTCTCAACAGAGAATTTTCAGAAATCCGCTAGATCCTTTAGAAGAACAGGCAAATATTCTTCTACATACTTCAAAAACAGGCTTTTGGTTCAAAGGAAAGCGTGTTTTTTCGTATCATTTGGTTTCAAAACTTCTTTTCACACATCCAGAGTATTTTTCTAAGATATATAACAGATTATTCGGATCTCTATCACTATATGATGAAGCCAAAGTAGATCCTGCATTCACAACTCAACTTTCAAAATCTGAGTTAATTAATTTATCAAAAATATTAATTAACGGCAGCCCATTTTCCATACAGTTCCTATCATCAATGATTCCACTTCATTTAAGTGAATTTACTGAAATTTGGAATAATATTTTTGAATTAATTCCTTCTTTGTTCGAAAAGGACGAACTCTGCTCTTCCCTTGTTGAACTCATGGGAATAGTCAGTAACAAAATGGTTTCATCCGAAACAGAGCAAGAAATCTTGAAATGTTACTCAATGATTTTAAATCTCGAAGGGAAACCATCGTCAGAGACCAGGGTTAAGCTCATTGACCAACTAAACATTATTATCAAGCATTTCGGAAGCATCATTGACAAAGGATGGCCATTTCTTTTGTCATCAATCAAAATTCAGAATTGTGTTCATAATTCGAACACAATTTCCTCAGCATTCACTACTCTGACCTCGATATGCACGGATCACCTACAAAAACTCTCAGATCCGCTCTTGTCGACGATAATAAATTTGATAATTGAATATACGGCCAAGAACCCAGATTTAAACATCGCTCTTACTGCTATTGGCCTTTTATGGAACATTGTTTCTCAAGTAAATAAGAATGCCGTTCTTTGGAAACAAATTTTGTCTTTAATGATGACTTTATTCAACGATCCAAGGCCAGACGTGTCATCCGGTGCCTTGTCAACATTTTTCTCACTGCTCACTTCAAACTCACAGCAGATGCCTCAAGAGATTTTCCCTCATCTCTTAGAAAATTGTATAATAAAATTGTTGGAAAGTTATGTCACTTTTCCAGCCGAAAAGTACTCAGTAAGCCAACACGCTCTGTGCGAAATTGGTCACTGCGTCTGTAGTTTCTGGCCTCAGTTCGATAACCTCGCAAGTTTTCGTAAAAAATTATGGCCTTTATTAATTGAGAAGGTTTTCACATTTCTGACCATATGCGATGATCCTGATATATGCTCCAGCTGTATGCGGTTTTACGAAGATGTAATGCCTTGTAATTTGATGTCGAATGATATAAGAGAGTTATTGCTTTATTCCTTTGAGAAACTGGTTTACCTGTACTTAGATAGAGAGCAAATGTCCAACTTTGTCATCTCAGAAATCGGAAAAGTAGTACAAAGAACACTTCCAACCCAAAAACAATTTCTCACGGAAACATTATTGGACAAATGGCTGAACATTTCAGAGAAAGTTTCACTGACACTACCGTGTGAAAATATAGTGAATAATACTAGTCAGAAGTGCATTATCACTTGCATATCACTTTTACCTATCGAAGACAATTATTTAGAAAGAATTTGCAAATCTTTAGCCAAGATTGCACTCAAAAGTGGTAAGACACATGTGATAAACTGCATAATGACAAATGCAACCAAGACTTTGGATGATTTACCAAAAGAAAACTTATCTTTATTCGTTTCCTCGTTTTCTGAGATTTATTCACTTCCTGCTGCTACATCATTCCTTAAAAAGGCCATTTCTCTTTCTGAAAGCTTTGAAACATCAGACTTATTCAAAGTTTTTACAGAAATTTCAATAAAGAACGGAGAAGTATCAAAAATGGCCATAGACGCAATGATAAACAGCTTCTCCAATGCAGAAAAAGAAGACAAAGTCTATTTAATTAGCAGATTTAGTAATAATTCAAAAGTTTTAATTGATATTTTTGAAAAATATATGAAATATGACTCAAAAGAATTCTCCCAAAAAGTATTTGACGAAGTGTTCGAAGAATTACTTCTCTGTCTTAAGAAATATGTAGAAGAAGGTGATTTTGAAGTAATGAAGTACTTAAAAGACGTAAAAGTACCTCCAAAATCATTCGGAAACCTTAAAGACTGCCAGAGATGGCATTTGCACTTCCTTGCATGCAGTTTCTCCCACTTGTTGCTTGATAACAGAAAAGAAATTTCTCAATTATCATCAAAGATAGTCGCGGATATCGCTACAGACTTTACAATGATGACCAAAAACATGTAACTTATATTAGAATTGTATATATTAGCTATAAAATTGTTTTTTATCCTTTCAAAAATTTTATATTTTTTAATCTAACTAAAATGTTCGCAATCGTAAACTTATACAATCATTAGATGCCAAAATAACTCAGCTATAACTCATTTGTTATTTATTTTTTTTAGATGGCAGCGATCAAGCATAAACTTACTTTCTTATATTACTTTGGAAGCATATTTCCTTTTACAATAGTAATAATTTCATGGATATGTTACTATTCACTTGGCCATTATACAAAAGGAAAAATTCCATATATTTCAGATACTGTTGTCAAACTGCCACAGCGTAGAATTTTTGCAGCTGGAATGAGCATCGAGGGTTGGTTTATTATTCTTATCTTTTACTTACGAATTTCATACTGCAGCGAACTTGCACATGAAGCTAATGTTTATTTAACAATATCATACAAAATAAAGGTATTTATTTTATGGATACTGCTGGTTTGCGCACCAATTGGCTTGTTTGTTCTTTCAGCAATTACCCTTGAAATGAATTTATCAGTTCATCTTACAGGAGCAGCAGTATTCTTCTTTGGATCATTCATTTTTTACGCTGTCAGTGATTTCACGCTCATGCAATGCAAAGTGAAATTAAATATAATTTCATTAGTATTGACATGGCTGGTAGTCGGTTTCCTTGTATTATATACAGTATTTGCAAGCTTCTCCAAACGTTCTTTTGTTAATGCCGGCGCCATTTTCCAATACATTTCTTCTCTATGCATATTTGGAAAATTATTCTGCATGCAATATGATATTCCTGGACATCACATTGAAATTAAAAGAGAATAAACATTGTTATCATTTGAATCTCCTTTTTTTAAATATAATTTTTTATTGTCATTCAAAATGAGATCTAGCAGCATGAATTTCATGATGCTTGGATAGTACATTGATAGTATTTTAATGCTTTAAATCAATGCTTGATCATTTTTCAAATTAATCAATGAAATTCTCAATTTGAATCTAAAATGAAAAAATATTCTTTGCTGACATCCAATAGCGGTTATTTCGAGTAATTGTGAGTAAGTTTACTTGCTTGGCTGAATGATTTTATGAGCAGATTTGACCGACAGACAGATGAAAATTTCAGTGCATATGCCAATCTGACGGCAAATTTGCTTGTCAAATATGACAAAGAAATCTGATATTCACAATTAAAGACAAAACTGACAGATCCATCTCCTCAGAAAATAAATTGAGAGCCACAATTTATTTTTCTTTAATGCAGAAGAACAACAGCAAGGCATCGACAAAGAGAAGGATTTACTTTATGGGCGTCCTTGTCCAGAACGAGAAGAAGGAGCAGAAGCTTAGAACAATCAAGCAGATCCAGCCAATTCCACCGATTCAGCAGAAACCAATTGAAATAAAGGGTTACGAAAAGCTAGAATCCTTCATGAATAGGTATAAAGACCACATTCCAAGTGGTTTCAACATCCTAAGGAGAGGAAATCTTCCTGGCATTGATTTTTCTCAAATTTCATGCTGATTCTTGATCAAATTATAATATTTTTGTTAGATATACTAAATATGTTTATTTTGATATATTAACTTATAACTTTTTCTTTCGGAGCTCTCATTTTTGAATTGATCATTCAATTTTAAATGTTCATCGATCAGATTGTTAATTTTAATGAGCAAATTTTTATTAACTATCTCTTTGGCATTCGTTGATAATTTGTTTAATTTAAAAATTCAGATCAGATCAGAAATCTCCAAAATGTTCTATTTATATGTAAAACATAGTATATATTATTCAAACATTTAATAGATATTTCAAATTTAAATATTGAGAGCCGTAAAAAGTCTAACAAAAATTTTGTCAATAGCCATTCAATTTGCCAAAGGTTTGTGGATGAATTTCAGCCTTCCTTTTTAAGGCATTTTAAATACTAAATTAGGATTTGGAGATTCGATTGTTCATTGATATGTAAACCTAAATTTCGATTACTCATTTTATGCCAATTTCATTGTAATTTTTGGGTTATCCTACCATCTGCAGTCATTAAATGATGAATACTTAAGCATCAGAGCTTTACAGCAGATTCAATTTTTGAAAATTTTATAAGTTTTGTTTTACAGGTTATAACTAAACGAAAACAATAAATACATGAAAATCTAAAACGATCTAACCAAGAATAAGCTATATTTAACCCCATCGTGTGTATATCAAATTTGAGAGTGTTTGTCAACTAATATTAATCGAAAAACGTCATACACGCTAGCATATAGTGCAATTGGCATTAAAAACGCAAACTTTTATAAAAATATGAGATTCACAGTGAATATTGAGCAAATCTTATATGATAAAATATCAAGTACATTAATAATGCTTGCAGAATATCTATTATTATTTAAGGCATATTTTTTTCTTTACAAAATGTCAGTTTTTCTCTCATGGATAATAACCCCGTGAATATAAGCATTTATGACATAAAGGTAATGTTTAAACCTTATATTGACTCTTTCAACGCAATATACAAGCTTAGGACAGATGATGAAGAAGAAATAAAGAAAATTTATTTAAAAATTAAAAATGATTTGATTGAAACCAATGTTGTTGAACTAAAATATGTATATGATTCAATTGGAAATATTATTACCCTAAATAATCGATATTATAAATCGTATTTAAGACTTATCAAATTTTTTTACGATGATTATCAATTAAAGCACATGGAATACATAAGCTGCACAATATCATTCTTATTTTATAAACAATATGGAATGAAATTGAACAAAAATTATAATGAATTCCAAATTTTTATAGAATGTCTTGAAGAAAACACTATATACAGAGCTATCATGTATGATGACTTAAACCAATTAATTGCATTCACAGAAAAACCGGATTTTGATCGAAAAACGAAAGTGTTTTCTTTTGTTTATCATATTATAGGATCTGGCTACAATTTACTTGAATTATGCTGTTATCACGGTTCTCCAAATTGCTTCAAGTATTTAAGAACGAAGTTAAACTTCGAAATCACTCCATTTTGTCTAGATTTGTCATTTTACAGCGGAAATCATGAAATAATGACTGAATGCTTGAAATATCAATCCCCAACTTATCTAACAATGCATTTCGCAATTGCATCACATAATTCTGATTTTGTGAGTTTCCTAATGAATGAACACGGTGTTGAAATCGAATTGCAAGAATGCGGAAGATATAGAGATCTTGATTCTTTTCTAATGTATCTTGATAAAACAAAAGATATCAACAAATGTTTTGCTTATTCAATTTTCTTCAAATACATACCTCTTTCTGAGCATTTTCTTTCTCAAGGTGCCGATATTGAAGCTAAGGGATACATAGGAGATACCGCTCTTTATTGTGCAGCAGAGAAGAACATGCCAGAAATCGTTGAATTTCTTATTAAAAAAGGAGCTAATGTCAATTATTCTGAATGTCTTAGTTATAAAACTCCTCTTCATATAGCAGCAGACAGAGGCAACACAGAAGTTGTTAAAATTCTTGTTTCTCATGGAGCAAACATTTTTGCAGAAAATATTGTATCTCAGACTCCACTTCATTGCGCAACGTTATTTGACTCACATGAAATCGCAGAAATTCTTATTTCACATAGTGCAAATATTAATGCACAAGATCGAGGTGGATCGACACTAGGGTTGTTAGATTCCCGACGATAGGTGTCTTGCAAGATTTGCCTGGTGTCATCATAGTGTCTTTAAATCAAAAATTTTATTTTGGAGTTAGTTTTATTGATTTTTCAATAAAAAACATTTCTAAAACAAGAAAATAAAACGATAAAATATTTATATTTTATATAAGGATCTTATATATTTAAAATAAATATCATTTTATTTTTTTCATTGGTGTCTGTCAAACCATAATACACTATTCAAAAATTCAATGTGTCTTGCGGTTTCAAAAGACACCTTCAAATTGAACGATAGCACAGACACTATTGAATTTTACCCATTGTATTTAGTTTTTACCCTTTTTATTTTTAAGAATTAATGACTGAAACAGCCGTTTTGCTATGACCTCAATCACTTTTATTTATTATTTTAAATATTATTTAATTTTATTATTTGAATAGGCCAACTTATATTTGAGAAGCTCAATTTGAGACCACTTAATACATTGAAATATCATAAATATTGAAATATTAAAAAGTGTATTTCAAAATATTGAAATTATAAAAATTTATAATACTGAAATTGAGACAAATTAATAAATTCAATGTTTTTTTTTGAAATAACTCTCAAATATTATTTTTTTGTTTATTTAATGATGAATAAACATGATTGCTTTAGTCAATCATAAAAACTAATTTAAGTTTAAAATAATGAAAGGATAATTTGATCGTTTTTTAAAATACAATTATTTTTGATGATTTGCAAGAATCTTTGAAAAGAATATAATATAGGTTCTATTTTTGTAAAATTTATCCAAATCATGTATTACATAAATTACGATTAAAACGATGAAAGAACCAAAAAGTGTGTTTTGTGTTTTGTTGTTGCGTGTTGGATGCGGGATCCTGTTATTTCCGAAATCGACAAAAAATTTGGAAATTTAATTTCCGAAATCGAAATTACCCAGATTTTCCTTACTTTTACCACTCCCCATGTAATTTCTGGGGAAAACGATAATTCATTTTTTTTATGGATGAATAGATCGTTTTCCTAGAAAGGACCTCATATCTCTGGCTAAAAAGAGTGTCAGATCCTAAATAGGTTATTGATCTAGTGTACAAATCCAATAAAAAGCCTATTTTTTGGCTTTTTTGGTGCTCTTTTTTTCGAAGATCTACATGAATATGGGGAAACCATCGGATTTTTTTTGTTAACCCACATCTTCATGTAGTCTGGACTATCTTTCCTCGAAGGACCTCTTTACGGGTGTAAAAACTCATAAAGTTCTCAAAAGATTCATTCTCGATCTCCATGCTGAAAGAATTTACAATAAAAAAGAGATCTACGCATCAAACTACAGCCATAAATGAACTGAACCCCTAAAGCTCAGCTCTTAGTTTATCAAAAACGTCGAAATCCTTCTCATTGCAATCAAATTTTCTCAATAACTCATAAGAAAAATCGAATTTTGATTAAGCCGATGTTATAGGTATCACAAATACTCCAAACTTGAGCAATATCGAAATTGCCAGCAAAAGTTTGAAATTGCATTGCTCATATTTGTTTTGTAAACTAAAAATCTGCTTATATTATTCATTAATTTTTTATATATTATTCATATACTTTAATAAAAACAATACTATTTCACCTTAAAAATGAATTTCATAAGTCAATATTATTTTTTTGAAAATGTATCAATTTTCGATTAAAACAACATGAGAATAAAATTTACGCAAAATTATTTTAAAAAATGGTTTTAAAAATTTACAATTGATGAAGAATAAGATTGCAAGAAGTTTTGAAGTTTAATTTTAAGAAAAAAAATTCGGATATTATTCATGGATCTAAGTAATCTGATATTTGAGTATCGGCACTATGCATAAAACATATATTTATAGTTTTTTTGGAGTTTTATGATTTTAAATATATTCAAATTTGGCAATCCAATAGATTTTTAAAAAATAGGTAAATAAAAATAGATTATATATGCAGCAGATTTAGAACATGAAACAAATCTTATAGTGACCCAAAAAAAAATTCATGATCCAAAAAAGAAAAAAATTTGCTAAATGGAAATCATACCTTGGCATAATGAATCATTATATCGGATGTTTCCACTACACTACACCAGCAGTTCGAAAAATACCCTTGGTGGTTCTATTTAATAGCTACTTCCAACGATAGGCGGTGTCCCCAGCTTTAGAGAGGTGGTAAAAGTAAGGAAAATCTGGGTATATTAATGTTTTTAATATTCTTATATCAAAAGGATTAAAGTTCATTAAGAGAAAAACAATTCTTCTTCTTCAATCTATTGGCGCATTTATTTCTACACGCCAATAAGGAAGGGAAAATTATAAGACACCATGGTGTCTTCAAAACGCTAATTTTTGATATTTTTAACAACCCTAAATCGACACCTTTACATCACTCAGCAGAGTCTAATAGTACAGAATTTGCAAAGGTTCTTCTTGCTCATAATGCTGATATTCACATACAAGATAATGATAAGTCAACTCCACTTCATATTGCAGCGAAAAATTTCAGTGAAGAAATTGTTGAGATGCTTATTAATCGTGGTGCAGATCTTGAAGCAAGGGATGAAATAGGAAGAACCCCTCTTCATCTTGCAGCGCGTGAGAATTGTGTAGAATCAGTTAAAATTCTTCTGGCACACGGTGCAAATATCTTTTCAAGAGATGATGATGGTTGGTGTGCTTTAGACTATGCAGGATCAGAAGGAAATGTCGAAATTCTCAATATATTGACTTCCCATAGTTCTTTTATTAATTACAGAGATGTTATGCTTGTACTCATGCAAATGATGCATTTCTTTTGATATTAATGCATTGTGTTGAAGAACATCTCAAGGATTATATCAAGCCAAATTCTCGCGTTTTAGTTACATTTGGAGGCGGCTCAATTGACAATAATGGAGCTCGTGCAGATGTTACCAAAACATTAGCTGAATTAAACCGCGAAACACGTTGGGAAGGTGGTATTCCACCAAAACCAGAGTATGATCGTCTCATCGAAATTGTTAAAGTCGCCAAAGAATTCCAACCAAACTTACTTCTTGCTGTTGGAGGTGGCTCAATTGTAGATTGTACAAAGTTCAATTCTCTCGCCATGAACCTTGACGAATCAATCGATCCATGGGATATTGCTACAAAAGGTGTTCGCCCAGAAAAGAAAACACCACTTGGTTGCATAATGACAATTCCAGCTACAGGATCTGAATGGAATCCTGGTGCTGTTGTTTCAAGAAGAAGCACACATGAAAAACTTGCATATCCATCATTATCACTTTTGGATCCACTATACACAATGACAGTTCCAATCAGACAATACAGAAATGGCCGTTTCGATGCAATGGCTCATTGCATTGATCAAGTTCTTACTCCCCCTGTTCCCCATTACAAGACAACTTCTTCTTTTCTGTCATGAGAGAACTGGTTGATATATCAGGTCCACTTTTGTCCGAAGATAATTCAGCAATTGAATATCATGAAAGACTCATTGTTGTCTGCAGATTTACCCTCAATGTAATTCTTGCATTGGGCAAGGAAACTTGCTGGGAATCCATGAAATAAGTCATATGCTCACCGCTAAATGGGAAGTGATCACACATCAACATTATCAATTATTTCTCCTTTCATACTCGAAGAATTTATTAATGAGCGCGAATTCAATCTCGCTCGTGCAGCAGAACGTGTTTTTGATATTCACGAAGGAACAGATTCAGAAAAAGGCCAAAGCATTCATTGCCAAACTTCGCGAGTGGATAATTAAAATTGTTCAGTTCTCGAAAGTCACCGATCAAAAAGGTGTAACTATTTTACCTGAATGGTAATGAAGTCAAAAGATGGAAAACCATTCGGATAATCACAAATCCATAACTCGTGAGAATGTTCATCGCATTCTTGAAAGAGCTTTAAACCAATAAAAGCAAACCTTTTTTATTATATTGATTTTTTTATAAATTAATGATAGAATTTATCTCCATCTGACTTTAATTAGAATTTCTAATATCTAGTATGAAGAGGCATAGAAAAATAAGCAAAAATATCTGAATTAAACTCCATGCTATTTGGGGGTTAGTGCGCTTATTAATGCTAGTTCGGCAAAAAATACGCTTGAAGAAGGTCCATTTAAACATTTAAAAAAGAAATCAAAAAAAAAAAGAAAAACGCATTCTATTTTTACTGTGGAATCTCATTACTTCGCATATCCATCATGAATTAAATTATAAAAAAACATGATTAAAAATATTTATATAAACAAACAAACAAAAATATAAATTAAATAGGAAGTTTCTTTTTCTTTGACGGAGAGAGAAATTTAGGAATGTTCTGTTTCTTTCCCATCAAAGCCTCAATTCTGTGGTAGTTTGACTCAGCGTGGTTATCAGAGAAGAAAGAGTCGAATGTCATCAGACTTGATGATCTCTTTTCTTCATCTTTCTTCTCTATTCTGAGGGACTTCCTCGCGAAGTTCGCTGCGTCATTCCCTGATTTGTAGACTTCGTCGATTGAATCCAAAACAGAAGTCATCTCTCCGAAATTAATTGCAGAGAAAGTAACTGGCTGGTAGTCATCATCGCTGTCTTCAACAACAGCTTTTGTCTCTTCACTGATCATTTCTTCATCAGTTTTTGTTTCTTTTTCTTCGGAATTTTCTGAATTTTCTGGATTTTTTTCGACAAAATCATCAGGATCGAATTCCAGCGGACAATTCTCTGCCCACGATTTGGAATCACTCACGTCGAAGTGCCTGTTGAACCCGATTTGTCCAATAAACGGTCCGTCGAATGAGAATAACTTTATATCCTGTTCATCACCGCTTGTAATGACTGTTCTGTACTTCCTGGAGATGCTGAGGTAAAGAACACTCTCAACATTACATCTGTGTTCGAACAAAGTACTGATCGTGTCGTTTTTCAGCTTTAATAAGGAAATATAACCTCCAGAATTGCCAACAGCGACTTTGTTGTCATCGGAGGTGATGCATGTGATGGAGAACCGCCTCTTGCAAGTGAAAGGAACAATAGTTTTGATACAATTCGGTGAAGATATGTTATAAAAGTGGATATTTCCCTTTATGTCACCGACAACAAAGGAATCCTCACTCAGTTCGAGGTCGCATGCACATGTAGGGGAGTCAACGACGTATTTCACGTGAGGAACAACGGATTTCGGAGTCCATGAGAACATTTCTTTGTCGCTGCCGAGGGAAAGGATGAGAGTCGACTTGATCATGATGACAGATGATATCTGCTCGGTGTGGGCATTGATGATTCTGACTAATTTCATCTTATTTCCGGGAAGATCTTCAAACAAGACAATTTGACCACGTCCACACTCGCAAACAATATATTTGATGTTGTTTAAAGGTCCTTGGATAATAAATGAAATCGACCCACAATTTTTTATCGTCGTGTCATACAAAATTGAACCGGTTGTAATGGAAGCGGTTTTAAGTTGGCCATTACTGAACCCAAATATCAATCTGCGTGCATTTTGGTCGGTGACCATAACTGTCACGTTTCCTTTTTCTGAGCCACATTCAAAATTGAGAGCCTTGGAACCTGAATGGAAGGACCAGAACATTACTGTGCCTCTTGCGTCGCAGGAGATGACGTTTTGGAGGGTCTGGCTTACGCTTAGACCTGTAATGATGTCGCTGTGTGGCTTAAATGTTCCGCTGTCGCTTGTTTGGCAGGCCCATCGAGATAAATACGCTCCACCCATGAAAATACGGCCTCCGATGTACAAGGATGATGTCGGTGGACATTTCTGATGGTGCTTTTCAAGGAAATATGAGGTTATCAGCTCAAATGTGGGAGTTGCGTAAACACTTACGAAATTATTCACAGAAATCGTAAACAAAAACGACGAGAAGTGAGTACTGATCACGCACATCGAGGAAACAAGCTGAGATGGCGTCTCCGTGATGTGGATATAAGGTTGGAAGGCATGAAAGGCTCCGATGTAATGAGTCGGCGTTGCGTAGATGATTTCGCTTGTCCTATCATCAATTACGAACGTATTTATCGGAAATCCTTTCGGATCCTTGATTAATTGCTTCAAATTAAAATCTCTTTGTTTCGGATTGAAAGAGAACAAAGAAATGCTTCCGTCATACGATGAAGACACATACGTGTCCATAGCTTTGCTGTAAGTGATCCTAGTAATGTTTTTCGTGTGAATTTTGATTTTCGCAATTCTCTGACAGCCAAAATCCAAAATAGCTGATGTAGAAAGTGTAAACTCAAACGCTTCAACTTGTCCTGTATCGTTTCCGACCAAAAATCCTTTGAATTCTGGAATTGAACAAACAGCAGAGGGAGAATTGTACAATGGAGGGATTTTTGTCTGTTTGAGCTCTTTTAGAGTGACTTTGCTCTCGTATGCCGACAGTCCAGGGATGATTGAGCTGTCTAAACAAGGAGATAAAATAATATTCGTTTTTTGGGCTTTCCTTATATCGTAGAATATGATTTTTCTGTCGTTTCTGGCTATGACTATTATGCCCATCATCTTGATATAATCGAAATCAACGAAGATACAGTTATCTGTGAAAATTTTCGCTCTTTGACATGTATTTATGTCCCAGAACTGTAGGGCACTCTCTGTAAGCATGACTATTTGGTCGTCGTACGGAAGAAATACCATTTTGATGATTGTCTGGGCAATTGGATACTGATGAACAACTGTAGAGTTTGGGGCTTCGTTATCTATCATAATGTACTTGTTAAACGATGTTTCTGTCTTTGATTTTTGCTGGCACATGACTTCTTCCAGTAATTCAAGCCAAGATATTACGTCATTTCCATCTGTATCGATTTGGCGAAAGAAGGCTGCAAAATCTGTATCTGATAATGGTTCTTGTGACAAAAGATATCTGATTCTGCTTTGCATCCATTCAGAAAAAGAAAGCTGATTATCATGGTTTAAATCAGCTTCTGTGAATGAATTTCGCAGCTTATCGACCCATGTATCACCTGGAATGGACTTAATAACCACTTCTGGATTTTCCAGCTCCAAGGATATTTCCGTGGTAGCTGAAGATAAATCCATTTATAGTGGTTATGAAATTATTTTTGAATATTTTGAATTAACATTAAACTATAAGTAATTTCCTATTATTATTAGCTAAAAATTTCCTTTAATTCAATAAATTTTGTTTCTTTGATTTCACATCTCAAAATATTCCCTTATCAGAATCATAATATGATAATATTTTTCATTATTAAGCATAATTATTAAGTTTTTAATTCATTATTTTTAATTGTCTCTTTGGTATTTTTAAGATATATAAAAAGATAATGGATCAGTCGCCAATGTTCGGACAATTTGGATTCGTCAATCAAAATGCGTTTGAGTTCCCGATAGATTCAGCGAAAAATCCAAGTTCTTCCTTAAATCAATTTATAAAAAACCAAAATATGAATAATATACCAAACGAAATACCAAAATACTATTCAGATCTAAAGATGTGGGTCAATTCCCTTAGTAATATATCGAAACCAGAAGTTTTTTCCTTACTTTATGCGTTTTTCTATAATTCTATAGTAGTCATGATGCTTTCTCAAACGAAAAGGTCAATAATCAAGAGTTTTATTAATGATTATTCTACAGATTTCGTGAAAGATTTTGCAGAAGAAATTTCATCACTCACAAAATTAGTAAATACTAAATCAACAGCAGTAAATTACAGGAAATTCAATGTTCTGATGACAAAGCAGTCATTATTAATCCTTATTTCTTATTTGGCTGATAATAATCAAACATTGTTGCTTTTCCTTCTGAATCAATATGTAAATGTTAAGATTATATCACAAGAAGCTCAAATGTTACGCTTATCAAACGGAGAACCCGTTTTTGTCTCTAATATTGACTCAAATTCGAGTTCTGACCTAATTGTCAATCTTCTTGCAGACAATCCGATTGATTTGTCCAAAGAGTTCCTTGATTCAGTTAATTCCAAATACGAATCTTTCTCAATTTTGGATTCATCCAAAAAAAGAACATTTCCTATTGAAAAAGTACCAAATGTTGACATGGAACAGATCATGTACACATCACTGAACATAATAAACATGGACAGACTGTCTAAAAACAATTTGCCGACTTGCGGATACTTTAATTTCCCAAAAGAGCATGTTTATTACGATATCAATGATTGTGGATCATTGTTATCTGTTTGCACAGGTTCTGCAATAACAAAACTCTATTCTTTGGATGTTTCTGTTGATTTAGACAATATTGTTCCAATTTCTAATCCAAAGAACGAAAAAGAGTCATCAGACTTTGAACTGATCAACCATTTCATGGTCCCTCGCAGTTCTTTTACTTACAAAGACCATTTTTCCGGACAAATGAAAAATTCTTATTTCACAAGGTCGTTGATCGGCCAAAAGTCGATGTTTTGTACATTTTCGCATGATTCATCACTGCTTCTCACAGGAGGGGCCTTTGAAACAAGGATTTGGTCGGCAATAAACTCGAATTCCATAATTTCAGTTCAAACACCATCAATTAACTGGTGCGGTGACTGGAACCCATACGGGGAATACTATTTACTTGGTTCTTCAGACGGAACAGCTTCAATTTACAGTTTTAATTCTCCAAAAACTGTTAGAAGCTTCGTTGGCCACACAAAAGATGTCATTGATGTTAAGTATCATCCGAACGCTAACATTGTCGCTTCTGCTTCGTTGGATGGAACAATTCGCTTGTTTGATGTTTCTGAAGGCCAGCAAATCAGAGCTTATTCGTTACAAACGACTCCAACGTGTATCTCCTTCCATCCGAGCGGAAGATATCTCGTTTGCGGAGACGAGAAAGGCGGAATCAACGTTTGGGACCTTTCAAACGACAAAAAACTGCTTGAAATAAAGGACAGCCATAAGGACACAACCGTTTCTGACCTTTGTATATCGAAAGACGGCCAAGTTTTGGCATCTGTCGGAGAAGACATCGCTATATGGGATTTCCAGGCTATTTCATCCAGATTGGAAGTGTCTGAGAAGCCAATGAAGAGAACAGCTGCAAAAGAGTCTCGTCCTCGGAGAATCAAATTCACTGATACAAATTTACTTCTTTGCATCGGCGAAACATTATCATTATAATTCTTTTGATTCTTATATATTGCGTAGATTTAGTTTATTTGTTTGTTTTAACTAAAATATATTTTAAATTGTTTGTATCTTTATAAAAAATAACAAGTGTATAAAATTTAAATAGTATATCTTGAGTTTATGTTTTGTGATTCTTCTCAAAAGTAACTAAAATAAAATTTCCAAAATAAATTTTACTATGTTACATTCTGAGAATATATTATTTTGTTTCTATCCTACAATTAAGTTTTATTTTATCAAGAAAAGTATTATGCTATAGATTCACTCAATTTTTTTTCCATATCACAATCTAGTGGCCATTTATAAGTTGATATTAAAATATGCAGTTAATATATTATATTTATTATAATCTCAGTCTAATTTAGACAATAATTTCTGCAGACAATTACAGATTTGTGATAAAAATGAGCATTAATCAAGTACATAGATAATTCACGAAGAGAGGAGGTGATCCCTTCAATGGTCACTTATTAAAATTCCACTCATAAAAGTGAACTGATGGAAAAATCATGTTTTCTAAATTCTTGCTTATTTCGTATTGTTTGTTAATATTAGAAAAAAGCATTTCAACATGAAGCTTTTGAGAGGAAAACCGTCGTCAAAATTTTTGTGGAAATGTCGAAGCAACTTGCGGAGCGGATCATTCAGCAAATTCTTCCAGATTACCACGAGATTGTCTCATCTTCAACGCTTCCCTCCACTGAGGACATGATTGCCTTGGTCAAAGAGACGAAGAAAATCCTTGCCCAAGAGAAGACGATTATCTCTCTCACCGGGGACTTTGAAGTTGTTGGCGATCTTCATGGTGATCTTGAGAGCCTTGTAACTATCTTTGAATTCCAAGGGTATCCAAATGAACAAAAATACGTTTTCTTAGGCGATTACGTTGACAGGGGAACACATTCTATCCATGTCGTACTTCTCTTGTTTGCATTGAAGTGTCTCTATCCCGAAAACGTCTTCCTGATCCGAGGAAATCACGAGCTCTCCTCTGTATGCAAAAAGTACGACTTCAGGCAAGAGTGCATCACCCTTGTCGGCAAAGGGTTCTATTCACATGTGATCAAAGCATTCAAAGTTCTCCCTTTGGGTGCTGTAATCAACAAAAAAGTTTTTTGCTGCCACGGTGGAATTCCGGTCACTACTGAGATGACACTCGAAGAATTATCAGATGTCGAGCGTCCTTTCACCAGTGAGTTCTCTGATATCCAAAATTCTCTTTTATGGTCAGATCCATCGAATGATGTCAGCGATTACGATTTCAACAGGAACAGACGTGCAGGCGAATTGTTTGGACGCAATGCCCTTGATAGTTTCTTCTCTCTAAATGGCCTGGATACTTTAATTCGTGGTCATCAAGTCGCTGAAGACGGCTATGCATTTTCTCTTGGAGAGGATGTCAACTGCATAACTGTCTTCAGCTCAGCGGACCATGAGAAAGGTAACAAAGGAGCTACAATCACAGTTTGTCAGGATAACTCGATTATGGCAAGGCAGTTCGAGAAGGAACTTTATACATTCGATACATTGGACTACTTTAAGGATTGTATAACCAAACAATTCTGCAATAACTCTCTTGTTCTTGTCTGAGAAGAAAAAAAATCGTAATCCTTCCTTTTTTCTTTGTTTTATAGAGTTGTATTAGTTTTATTCATGCCCAACATCCATTTATTTGAGTGTTCAGCTGACATATTTTTTGAGTTTTTTTGTTTATTTTTTTTTGTAATTTTTTTATGTTTTTTTGTTTTTGTTTATTATAAATTCATAACATAATCCTAATTTTAACTTCTTTCCTTTTTCCTTCTGTTGATTTCTTTTGTTTTATCATATAATATTATACATATACATTTACTGATCGATTCTATTGTCTATTTAGCTTATTTTAAAAATGGTTTTTAAGTATTATGATCTCTAATCAAGAAGAATAATATGCCTCAATTCAATACATCACCTTGATTCTAAAAGGATGATTTATTTGTATTGTGTTACATAAGTGTTTTTAAAAAATGAACTGAGATGATTCTTAATTCGCAATTATGGTGAAACAATCAAGTTAATTATCGAAATAAATAGGAAATATTATCGGATTATTGCATTCCAAACTGTGTAAAATTGGAATATTTCTCCAATATTATCAATTGATATACCTTCTTCTCTACAGGATTCGATATTTGGTATTAATACTTATTTGAAGCTAAAATATGTCTACATTCAGTCTATAGAATCATTATTTGGGAGAATAATACCCCCGGAGATAAAAATCGTAATTTCGAAATTTGAGAAGATAGTATATCATCGAATTCTGATTGCAATTGTTAAATAACTCTTAAATGAATAACAAATTGATGGGTAAAATTTATTCAAGAAAGTTATGATTTTCCATCAATAGTTTTCTACTTGTCCAATATTTACAATGAAACTAGGCATGTATTCGATTAATCCAAAATGAAGAAGAAATGAAATCAATTTGGCGCGGCCTCTTTTACAGTTTGCCTCATTTTGGTATTTCATCATTTAAAAATCCAATAATTAATAGATTAACTAATAGTTTAGTCTAATTTTACATGATTAGATAGAAATTAATATTTACAGGAAAAATTACAAAGTCCAAAATCCTTCTATTGATGGGAAATTGCCTGCTTCAAGCAGCTTCATTTCTAATGTATCAAATGAATTAACAAACGTTTCTTGTTCTATAATTGCATTTATAGAACTTTGTACTTGCGGTGAACTAACTTGTTCTGTTTCTGAGCTATCTGTTAAGCATGCTGATGATTCTTGTTTAAATGAATCAATAATGGGATTGATTCTGTTCCAATTAACGCAGAACCAAAGTATAACACCGGTCTTTGTTCTCCAATCTACACGAGATGTTTTAATACCAGTACTTTCCTTGATTCTTCTCTGGAGTTTCAATACTTCTGTCATTGAGACTCCGCCTGCAACATCATAAACTTTTGTTTCAACTGCTCCATAGATTCCTTTATGGTTTTTGAATCTATCTTTCTTCATCTTAAGCTCACGGCTTGGTGCTGATCTGCGCTTTTGGATGACAGACGTTATGCAAGATGTCATTATCGAAAAATGATTAAATTTCTTTTTGTCAACGCACAATTGAAAACAATATTTTTTATAAGGATTGAAAGAAAAACAATATTTTAATGATGAAAAAGTATTAATAATAGGCTAAACAATGATGATGAGTTGATATAAAATTTTAAAACCTCTTTACGATTTTATCATTTTGAAATTTGATTATATAATTAATGATAGTAATAATAATTTTAAGATAAATGCAAATAACGATTATTTAACTTTCAAATTATTGAGAACAACTTTTGAGGAGGTACACGTTAGACTCAATTCGAAAATTGAAAGGTGGTATCAAAAGTTACGTTGAAAGGATTGCTATCAAAAATTTTATATCTCAAAAACAATAATACTTGACATATCATATACATTAAGAAGAATCGATAATTAAATTTAAGCGAAAACGTTATTTTTATATTGATCCAGCCAAAATATAGCTGTAACATATATATTGATGATATTTAAAAAGATTACTTTTTTTATGAAATTTTATGTCAGGGATTTATCTGTTCATTGAAATTAAATTAAGTATGTTATGATCATTTTAATGTTTCTTTTAATATTGCGCAGCATAAAATTATTTGAAATTTATTGAATACTTTTCAATTTTTGAATGGCAAAATCCGAATTTTGGTTAAAATAAACATACTTAGAGCAATATGCTGAGTTATTAAAATATAATTGAATATCATTGAAAAGTCCATTTTGAAATTATTGCTATGATTTATTCAATACCTCAATACAAATAAAATATTTTCATCCTGTATGGATTTTTTGATAATAACTTTTTGTAAAGATTTTTTAAATTTTTTTAAATTTAACACTCGAAAATTTTATTGTTTGTGTTCCTCTGGTTCGAAAATAATTTTATTTGAATCTCAAAGCACCTTCACAAATTTTCAAGCATTTTCGAATAACCCTCCGATTTTAATGGAATCTTGGTCTATCTCCTATCTTAAGTCTAAATCACAATTTTAGTATATAAATTTTACATTATTAGTGTTCAAAAAAAATAATCGAATTGTGAACTTATCCATCGATTCCCTTCAATCATAGATTTCCTTAATCTCTCTGTTAATTATTATCTAATATTATGCTATATTTAAATCCTTCATATTTATTAGCCCTTATTACTGTCAAGTCAATTTCAATGTTATAAAAATTTAATATTTAAAATTTTATTTTGATAAATCATTTCTCTATGTTACAATAAACACTATTTGCATTCGGCTCATCATCTTTTGAATTTTTTGTGAACAACTGAATAAAAATCGTTGTTATTTTCTGATAAATTTACGGTGAAAGATTTTATCAAGTGCTCAATCCAACGAAATAATTAAATAAATTGTTTAGTTTAATAGAGAAACATATAATATTGAAATTATCCACTTCTAAATAACTCAAATCCCAAAAAAATAAATAAAATATCTAATGATTGCGTAATTATAGTAATTTCCCAATCAAATCATCTTCAACTTAATATTTTCCATCATTATTTGTTAATTGATTAGTTCAATTATATCAAGTGGAATAATTATCTAATGATTATCAAAATGTAAACATTTTAATAAAGTAATTTCTTACCATGATATTTTCATTACAATTATTATCCCTTATTAAAATTCTAAAATCTATTTTGAAAAAAATTACTCAATAAATGTTGGATTCAATAAACTGACTGTGACAAAATGCCAATTTCAATTGAAACCAATGCTATTTCAAAAACAGAAAAATATTGATTAAAAAGTCTTATTATTCATATCATTGATTCACTCCGTTAAAACACGTTATTGTATTATATTATCATTCAAATATTTTGATATTAAAATATATCTTTTTTTATCGAATGATTATCATTTGAAGAAGTCATATATAAGGACTGTAATAGGAAATATCTTATTAAATTGAAAACAATTATTAATATCTGGAATTATTATTCTAATTTTTATCTAAAATTTTATTTAATGCTTTTGTTATCTTGAGATCCATTATAACTTACATCTATAATTCTGTGATCTCGAGATAAATTTTTATTTACTTCATTGAATGCAATAATGACCATTTCAAACATTGATGATATTCAAAAAACATTTCTTTTATTATCAAGTCTGAAACAAGAAGAAAGAGAAAATGCTTCACTAATCATTACCAGCTTCTTTTCAAACGCAGAAAATGTCCAATCTACAATACAATGGATATTATCAGATGAACGCGAATTTTTATGGACCGGATTCATATATAGACAAGTCCGACAATGGTTTTACTATCTGGCTTATTTTGATCTTGAAACGTTTCCTGTATCTATTAATCTACTGAATATATTCTCAGAATTCATTCGAACACGAGAATTTTACCAGAGATACGACTATATCCAAATGAAATCAATGCTAGAAATGATGTTCAGAACAAATGTTAATACAGTTTCCCATTTATATGAAATTCTCGTTGAAATACTAGATGCCAATCAAGAAACCGATGAGAGTACAATAATTTATTTAATTAATATTTTCGATTTATACTTTTCTTCATATGAAATGCATGATTATAAACAAACATTCACTCAGAATCAAGATATCAAAACAAGATGTTGTAATTTAATTACTTCCACGTTAACATCCGATGTTTTGACCAAAAATATTTTCAATTCTATTTTAAACATGCTTGTAAAGCACTATACACTATTTAGACACTTTGTTGTGAAGTCAGGATGCATCAATTACATAATGCAAGGAATTTCTTACGAAGACAAAGAACTTTCAACTTCAATTTTTAATTATTTAGCTTCAGTACTTCATTGTTTCAATGATGATACAGATCATATATCCAATTATATTCTTGAGAATATCGAGCTTATTATTGATACAAAAACTATTAAATTAATCTCAAAAAGTCTTGAATTGAATATTTTAAATGTAACTGATGATTTTTATCAAATTATTCCATCGATCATTTCATTATGTACAATAGACACTGATTCTTTCGATGATTTATGGGCCAAATACGACAATGTCAGAAGTTTTGATTTAATTAGAGCTCATTGTGGTCAGATTTGTAAAATATTAGCAGAATACAACTTAGAACTGTTTGCTTCTATTATTTCTTCTGAAAATTTGCTTTCTGACCCAAAAATGATAGAAAATATTTTATATATTTTAGTTGTCATCAAAGAAACCATTCAAGAACAAACAGATTTCTTACTTCAGTTTGTAGAGCATGTTTTTAATGCTCAACCATCAACAATTTGTGAAGTTTCAACTTTTATAATATTTTTATCAGAATTTCTTTATTTAGATCCTTCAAACATTTCTTCCAAGATCAATGAACTGCTAGTATGGTACTTTTCAGAGTATAATAATGAAATTTCTGATATTATGATTCTTACTCTGTTTAAAGCAATAGAGAAATGTGATTCCATATGTATATTTGATTCAGAACAATTATTAAGTATTGTTCAATTAATATTACCAAACAAAACAATGCTGATGTACTCATTACAGAGTTTGTTTATTTATGTTAAATATCAATATATAGATACAAATGATTTAGCTGTATTAATGGAGATATTAGGAGAAATTGTTAATGACGTTGATATTATTGAACCAGATGATTTAATTGATATTGATGAAAATTACTTTAATGAATTAGATATTTTGGATTTGACTCAACCGAATTTGATTCCTATTGACAGAATGCCTGATATTAATATTTCAGATGAAAATGATGCTCAAGATACTGATGATAATCAATTCTATAAACTTTCTAAAGGAACACTAAATTTGTTCACGATTTTTTATGTTAGATATAGAAAAATTGTTGGAGAAGAAATTGATGAACTTCTTTTGATATTACATAACTCAGCTGATAACAGTTGGATTAATGAATTAGTTCAAGCATACTATGAAGTAAATGGAAATGATGAGATATATCAGATGCTTGCAAAAAATAACAATCAAAATTAAATTGTTTAAAAAAGAATCCGAAATAACTTGAAAATTTTGAATGTTTTCAATAGTTTATACAGATATATATTAGATTGAAATATATGTTATTATAAAAAAAATTCTGTTTCTATATTTTGATTTTTATTTTCATTTCTACATGTTACAAATGAGAATACCATCTATAACTCAGAGACAAAGAAACCCAGATTAATGTTGTTTATTATGAAGAAAGATTGAACCTTGTAAATCTCTGTAGGCTATCAAAGTATTACTTACTTATGTGTTGAGTAGTCATATTCCACTTTTTTTAATTTAAATTGTTATTCATTTTATAAAAAAAAAATTATTAAACATGAAAAAGTTTTATTGAAGGAAATATATCTGAACACTTATTTAGTTAGGTCTGCTCTGTCTCCTCACAGTTGTATAATGTCCAATGTTTTCATAACCTAATTTCAAATAAATCTTGGCAGCAAGTGGATCAACGTAATAAAGGCAAGGTGTTTTGCCTTCTGATTGAAGCTCATAACTAATTTTATCAGAGCACATCGATGCATAGCCTTTTCCTCTGTAATTTTTATCTGAGCAAACATAAACAACCATTGCCAATTTTTCTGACTCAGCTTGTGATTTAGCCATAGAAATTAACTTGTCTCCATCAAAAATACCGTATGCTCTTGCTGAATTTGATTGAAGATCATTTCTTACTTCGTCAAGGTCTATATTGGATTCAAATGCTCTGTGCATAAGATCTACCATCATTTCAGCATGTTCAGCACCTAACTTTTTGACTAGTGGAAGATTTGGTTCGTTAAGTTTCTTTGTTAAATGTGCTAATGTCATATTTGTCTTCTTTGGTAAATCTTTGAAATCATATAATTGTAAATAAGATGTTTCTCCAGCGTAGCATTCGATATTAAACTTGTTAATAATTTCTTCCACGAAATCGTGTACAACAATGTGATCATAGCTACTCATGAACAGTATTTTGAAATAACGAACAAAGCAGGCATTGACTTTAGTTTCATTATCTATCCAAACATCTTGGAATGGTTTATCGAAGCCAAACTTCAGAACATAGCCAATTAGGATTGTGTTCATCTCTGGTTGTTTATATAAATACTCCATGATGATCTCTTTGTGCTTCTCAGTTGCATGAATCATTTTATACAAAATTGATCTCTCTCAAAATTTTCAAAATAAAAATTCAAAATGATCGCGTTTTGGTACCAACATTTTTTTAATATGTGAGCTCACTTAAACATTTGATGCTCTTAAAGCATATGAAGATGGCTGGACGTTCCACGCATGTTTATAATCAAGGTTGTTTAATATTGATACAAATCTTGCAGAAATAAAGTTATTGTTGTCACAGAAATAGTTTATTTACTCTACATACATTATTGATGATCGATATCGGTTGCTGAGGGATTTAATTTTGTAAATCGAGATTCATTTTAGAATTTTAAGTTTATTAGAAGCAACTTGGATGCCATATGATATTTTACTGTTTTCTGGCTGAAATCACCAAATGATGCATGGTGATTGTGTTACAAATTCTGTGATTGCAAATATTCAATTGATTAACTATGTGGGGATTCGGTAATTTACTTGGAAATGACTTATAGTGTGGGAATAATAATTGGTTTCGTATGAAATTAGTAATATTTCTCATTTGAGAGATAATCAATAGCACGGGTCATTAATTGATTTGAACGAACAATACTCGTAGATTATTATTGTCTGAAGATTAATTTGGATGATTTTGAAATCTAGATATGAAAAAAATGTGAAATTTGAATTAAAAAAAAAGGATAATTTTTCTTTTACGGTATAAAAATAAAAAGAAATATTTTTATGCAAAGTAACCGAAAGCGCCTGGTGGTGTAATTCTATCTGTTGGGGTGAGTCTCTTTTCAGCTGGAACTGCATCGAAAATCTTGAAGTTCAAATCTCTATCTGCAGAGACCTCCATAATAGAGGCCTTATTATTAGAGCGGTACATGTAGTTTGGAGCGGACCAAACTGTAACAAGCTTTCTGTCATGATGCCATTGATAACCTTCGTTAGCGAGCTGGTGGGCGCGAGCAACAAGCTCTAACTTGTTGTTGAAGCAGAATTCCTTTGTTGGATTTATACCGAATAAGTAGCCGGCACCACGCTGGTTCATTCCCCAGCCTTCCTGATCTTCTGGATCAGACCAGAGGATGTCGGAGATTTCTGTACCATTCTCTGGCTCAACACGGCGTTCAGCAAGAGCTAATTGTTCGATGATTCTGACCTTTGGAGAGAGACCACCATGGACGCAGAAGATTTTGCCGTCGATGGTAGCACCAATTGGGAGGAAATTGAAAATATCGTTGCAGAGTTGCCAAAGTGAAGCGAAGCCAAATCGAGATAAAATTTCTTCATAAAAGCCGTAAGCGTTATTTACCTGGCGGCACTCGTGGTTGCCGCGAAGCATGAAAAATCTTGTTGGGTATTTAACCTTGTAAGCAAGAAGGAGAGCAAGTGTGTCGATTGAATAGTAGCCACGATCAACATAATCGCCAAGGAATAAGTATTTTGTGTCCGGTGGGAGACCGCCAACATCGAACAGTTCGATTACATCCTCGAACTGGCCGTGGACATCACCACAGACAGAAATTGGAGATGAAAGGTTAATAACTGTGCCTTCCTGATAAAAAATATCGCGTGCAAGTCTAAGAAGACTGACAAAGTCGGATTCTGCAATCTGTTTACGCTCACGGATGTCACTAATGAATTTGTCTAAATCCATTGAAGTAAAATTGACAGAGCCATTGAAAACGTTCGATAAAAAAAAATTACATCACCATTTTATTAATCGATTCGATTATTGTTCGTTCTTTTTACTGTTGTGAATACTAAGAATTTTCTTCCATTAATTTACCATCTCAAGTTATTTTAGCTAATTGCGAATTCCTTGCTCCTATATCTAGCCTTGGGTTTAACCGCACTTGTAGCTTGGATTTCATATTTCCTCTTTTGTCAACGTGTAATCTTACCTATCCCTATAATGACTTTATTGGGTCAATCAAAATTAGATAAAAGAAATCATAAATTTCACTATGGCTTAAATGTAAATCCAGCGCACACTTTCATTATCAACATGGCAAGTTCAAATTCAAGATTTCAAATTTTCATTGTTTTTCGGATTTTTACTAAAAATAGCAAAAATATATCCAAGCATATATAAATTTTAACAGTTTTAACGAACAATTAAATACAATTTATTATTCAACACTGAATTCATCATCAGAAGAAGGCTCATGATTCGAGAATGGAGTTCTTCGGTTACTAGGGTTATGTGAATTCTTAGGTAGATGGAAAATTTGTGGGAAAACTGGTTGTGGCTCTTCTTGTTCTAAATCTTCATTAAATCCTCTTTGGTCGAATAAAGAATAGCCAACATGGGATCCATGGTTGCGCATTCTTGGACTCATTCTTCCCACGGATCCAAATTCATCAGATTCTTCTTCTTCGGTCTCATTTGTGTTTGCCACTATTGACTGAGCGCAAATGCTGACTAATGTTTCCATGAGATGTCTGTTTGGATTATCCGGTGACATATTCTTAAGAAGAGACATCATTAATGATAATTTAGCTTCAAAGCCGTATGGAGTCGGTAATTTAGTAGTAGAAGGATGAGCAGGTCGCTGAGGGATTACCGTCTCGGTCTTAATAAGTTTTTCGTTCTCAAGTTGAGAATTTTCGTAAACTTCTTCAATTAAATGATATCTACTCACTAATTCTTGAAAACCACCCGCATGCATTTCCTGGGAGTCCAAGACGATATCCATTTCACGTTGGCGCTGCAATTGTATTTCAGGATCTAATGTCTTTTGAACTAATTCAGAAACTGTTTCAGCATCATTAAATACATACGACGCCTTTGGGTTACGTTGTTTTAGTGCTTCAATGCATTCAGTAAGGTCTTCAACGTTTGCAAGATGAGTTGCTAATAATGAAGGAGCGAAATTGCTGTTTCTGTTTCTTTTAACAACCTTTGGCTTCTTGTACGTCATGTATACTTTCGACATTTCATGTATTCCTTTGGTTTTAAGCTGTGTTTCGTTATCTAATACTTTGCCTTTGTAAACGATCGTTTGATTTTGAGGAATGTATCCAAACATGATATATATTTCGTGTTTTAAGTCTGATACCGTACCTGTATCTTGTACTTCAACGAGGAATGATTCGTCCCTCACTGGGGAAACGATTATCCTCATTTGAAAAGTGACAAATTTACATTTAATGACGCTAAAAAGATATTATTTCTGGTTAGTACCTAATATGCAACAAAACTTCTAGAGCCAATTGAAGATTTAAAATCATTGTCACGTTTTTTAACTTTCAAATTGAATGAAAATTTAGAGTTTATAAAATTTGTAATCTCGAGTCGATCTTATAAATTAGGGGTGTGTGGACTTTATGTGCATGAAAAATACAACGAAAGCTATTTTTAATGTTGTTTTATGCCGATTGAATATTCCATAAAAGTTTCGGTGAGAGAGGGTCAAAGTTGCTATTTGTCACTTTTCCACAAGAATATAATGGGGAAAAAGTTATCATATAGTTGATCTCATTCACTGAGGTGAGAGATGCATGTAGTGTAATGTGATAAACAGTGGGATTGCTGCTCTAAGTCCTAGGTTCGAGACACATTGGCTTCATTTTTCTCTTTTTTATTGACGTAAACTATTCAATTTTTGTGTTCTCCATTCAAATTTCAGAATTTTTTTTTGCAGATTTCACGCTACATTCGAAGTTACCTTTTGTAACAACCACCACTGCCTACGAAAGACGAAAGTGTGTCACGATTTCACCCGGAAATCCGACGGTTGTTTAAGAGTATGCACTTTTGTCACCTACTCAAGTTTCGGTTGGTATTTGAACTCTACAAGTTTTCTATTTGTTAATAGTCTGTTTTATAATGTTCATCCTTATGCTATAACACATCAATACGTTAAAGTAAATGAATAAAAATTTTGAATATTCAAATACCAAATGTTAAGCACAAGTTCATAGTTCTAAACTTATATAGAAGATATTGTGTCATTATATTGCTCATAAATCAATAAAAAATTAAAATCTCAAATATATCGATGAAATAATCCATTTTGAGGCATTATTTGATTTTTAACTCTCTATATCTATTCATAAATTATGTTTGAAGTCTATGATTTGAAAGTTTAAATGCGCAGGTGTAAAAGTTGTTTTCATTCGATATTAGTTTCATTCCAATGATTCATTCCTTTATTATTGTAGTATCACATGACTAATCATTGAGTAATTATGATTAACTCAGAAACAATATTGAGATATGTTGGTAATCAAGCGATCTGACAATGAAAACTGGATCACTCAACTATAGTTTAGAAGAATTTCAATCAAATGAAGAAACCTTATCAGTTCAATATAAAAAATAAAATATAAGAAATTGATAGTAAAGCAAAATTTTATAATTCAAACAAATTTATCATGATTAATATATAGAAATAAAAAGGGATGGTTATCTGGGATCAAAAAAATTGAAAAATAATAAACGTAAACAAACATGGCAATTTTGGACCATGAGTAAAACATATGGACTTTTTCTGGACGAAGGTGAAAATTATATAAGATTTGCCATGGAATCGAGTTTGTTTGTTGAATCATGAAGTTGAGCCGATTCTTCCCAACCTTTTATTGGGACCATGAATGGGTCATCGTAAAACGATTCCTCTTCAAACTCGGGTTCGCTGGGAACTTTTGGACTTTGGAGAGGATTATTTGGCTGTGGAGTATTAAATAAACTTATATTCTTTGATTTGTGATCAATAATCAATGGTTGAGGTGTCATTGTGAACTTTTTACGAACAACCCATTGAGAATCGCTGCTTTTGTAGGATAGATTTGGAATTTGTTTTATTATTTCTTTTCCTGCTTCACTCGTTGATGGAATTGATACATACTTCATTCTCTCGAGTTGACTATTGATAGATGTCTTTGAACTATCTGTAAGGATACTAAGTTGGGCTGGATTAACAGCTATGCAGTCGTTTATGAAGTAAACACCGCATGCTGAACTTCTTTTCCAATCTTCGGCGTTTCCTTTGTTTGTATATGTTTTAATTGTCTCGAAGACATTATCTAAGTCTTGGAGAGCTGAATGCTTTGAATGCTTGAAATGGTTGCTGCTGAGTTGTCTCTGAAGATGTATGTAGGCCTCCTGGTCTGGTAAAGAAAGGAGATCCCAGTAATTGGGAGCTTGCATCACCTCAGCCATTGAATGGTTTCCTTTTCAAATTTTTATTGCCTGGAAAAAAATTTCAATTAGAATTATGATTTTATAAGCATTTTTCTGAGATTAATAAACTATGACGGTCACTAAAATTCGCCATCGTCAGAATTTTCAAACGAAAATTTGCAAAAAAATCATTATTCTTTTGCAAATGTATTTATTATTAATGTATTTATTGTATATATTACGCCTGAGTTATTTTTTTAATTCAATTATGAAGATAAATTGATAATAACAAAGATAAGTTGAATTTTAACTATATTGTGAAGCATAACTTTATGATTTCGCTCTAAATTTAGTTTGAATTAATAAATATGACTCATAATTATCGGAATGACTATTAAAAAACATACATTTTTTCATTTCTGTATAAAATCTATGATATTAAACAAGAATACATTTAACATTCAATTAATATACTAGTGGTTAAGATGTCTTTTGAATGGAATCTGTGGTAAAAGCTAAAAACATATTAGAATTACACAAATGAAGGAGAAAATATGTGTAAGCGATGTGCATGTCATTATTTTAATCATTTAGTTATTTATATCAATTCCTAAACTCATAGTTGTCTGAGTTTAAAAAAAGTAGTAGGATAGGAAGGGTTGTGTGACTTTTTTTGTTACATCTATATATAGACGATGCATTAAAATATTTATATACTAAACACATTAAAAAATTAACATTAATTTTAAAATAATTTATTTTTTATCTTTTATAAAAGAAGCTATATATAGATGATGTCAGATATTCCGCGATTAATTAAACATTGTTTAAATCCTGAATGGAATCAATGGAGTCATAATCAAAGACCTCATAAACGAGTAAAAGAAATTAGAAATAATTATTTTCATGAATAAAAGATTCACTACCATAATGAAATAAAAAATAAAAAAATTTTTAAAAATTCATGTCTCAGAATCAACATAGAACTTTAAGAAACTAATGATTATTTGAATTTATGAAATCAATTATTTGATTTAAAAAAAAAAAAAAAAAAAAAAGGTAGTGGGGCTTCCAGGCACTTCGTGCCTTCTAGCCCTGATGATGTTTAGTAATAAATGAAGTTTTTATTCGGAAAATTGTTAGTCTTCTGGGTCGAAAACATTATATAATGTGTCGCTTTTCACAAATTATATATGTTTTCATGTTTTGTCAAGACTTCTTCGTAAATGTTTTGTCAAAACTTCTTCGTAAAATCAGACAAAAATATAATTTAGGGTAGAAGGTTAGATCTAACCTCTTTTCTAACCTCTTTTCTACCCTCATGAATTTTCATGATTTCTTCGTACATGTTTTGTCAAGACTTCTTCGTAAATGTTTTGTCAAAACTTCTTCGTAAAATCAGACAAAAATATATTTTAGGTGAAGAGGTGAGATCTCACCTGTTTTCTCACCTGTTTTCTCACCTCTTGAATTTTCATGATTTCATCGTAAATGTTTTGTCAAGACTTCTTCGTAAAATGTTTTGTCAAGACTTCTTCGTACATGTTTTGTCACTTTTCTGTCACTTTTCAGGAAAAAACATTTTTATTATTATATATAAATGAATTTTACAAAACCACCGTTACCGTTCTTTGGAAATAAGAGTAGATGTAAAGATATTATATTGAGAGAACTTAAGAAACTACCGAATGGTCTAACATTTGTAGATTTGTTCGGTGGAAGTTTCTATATATCCCATTTATGTCATATAATATTCCCAGACTCAAAGATTATATGCAATGACTTCGACAACTATATGGACCGTCTCAAACATATACCAGACACAAACAATATATTGAAAGAGTTAAAAGAAAAGATACCTATAGGTAAGATGGAACGTATACCATTAGATAACAAAAATATTGTGAGAGAGGTTTTGAAAAAAGCAGAATATATAGACTGGGATAGTATATCTGCTAGACTATTATATAGTGGTTCTATAAGAGTTCATGACATTGAAACACTTATGTCAAAAGTTTTATATCTTAACTATACAAATGTTTTCAAAGAGGACATAGAAAAATATATTGAGGGTATAGAGTTTGTGAGATGTCGTTGGACAGAGTTGTATGAAAAATATAAAGACAAGGAAAATGTTTTCTTTATAGTGGACCCACCGTTCTATAACACATGGGATTTTCAATACCAAGTAGACTGGACTTTGAGAGACTCTTTAGAAACTTTAGACGTTTTACATAACCATCCATGCTTTTACTTTACATCCGATAAAAGTGGTTTGGAAACCGTTATGAGATGGTTAGAGGACATACATGACTATGAGTTTATATATGACAAGATAGAATATGAGAGAGGTCCTATAAACTGGAGAAAGTGTCACAATAAAGAAATTTTATTAGTAAGTAAATGTGGTTTGAAATAGGACTACTTGTTTTAGGTTTTTTCCATTGTGTCATTTATTTCTTTGACGTGGCAGAAAAGTACAGAGAATATGAAGATGAACCAATGCCTGCAAATGTTCAGTATATGTACTCGTAAGAGATATTTTTATCTAATATTAAATGGACGCACAGAACTTCGCGAATGCACAGCAACCTGGACAACCAAACCCAGAGAATATTCCAAATGAAGTTAGAATACAAACTGCAATGGCAAACTATGGTCAAGTGCCAACAGATGTACAAATGCAAACTGCCATGTCAAATGACGCTGCGTTAGGTTTGCCACCATGGTATGCAAATATGAGATGGAAAGAGTTTTATACAAACCCTGAAGTGGGATATAAACAACTTTATGCAGATGACGCGAACACAGGAGTTGACCCAGAATATGTTTTCTACCAGAGGAGAAACAGAATGTATGAGCTCCAGTTAAAGAATGCTATGGAACTCAACAGGAAACGTAAGAGACTAGGCGGACATTAGATTTTTACATATAGTAAAATGGGTTTCTTCAGTAGTATTGGAAACTTCTTCAGAAGAGTTGGAAGAGGTATATGGAATGGAATAAAAACCGTAGGAAGAGGAATTTGGAACGGAGTCAAAAATATTGGTAAAAGAGTAGGTCAGTTCGTTGGTATTATACCTAAAGACCCTGAACCAGAAGAACAAGCTCCTGTTATACAACAGCCTGAACCTGCACCACAGTCTAGTTGGCAACCAAATCCAACACCTCAACCGTATTAAAAAAATTATATTTTTACCGTTCGATAGTAGTTGTATATGAAACTAAGTTCTAAGTAAAACGCATGGTATAATGGAATTATTCTTTTTCTTCCATCTGTAGTAAACCATACTTGAAAGTCTGAAATACTTCCACTTGGTGGTTCGTATAACTTTGTAGGTTTTTCGTAAAAGTCATTTGCCAAGCATAAGAAAGAGTTTTGGGCGCCAGAAAATGAAGCATGAACAATAATAGCAGCTGGGTCGAAAACATCTTTAAATAAATATGGTTCATCTCTTGCATATCGACTGTAAATATTGCTAAAGAAGTTCGACTTTCTGATTTAACATTCTTTGCAAATAATACCATGACATTGCAGTGAATTCTGTATATATTTGTTCGTCTTTCTTTGGATTGTCTTCGTAGATTTGAAATGACACTTGTGAATTTTGTTTGTCATATACAATTCTCACATAAAGTGTGCTCTCGGTATTTGCATATTCATCAGCATATTTTGCATAACATGAATTTATTTTATCTTCTATATTTTTTAACGCAGTCTGTAGAGAAGATGAAAGGTCAACTTGTATTAGCTCAATTTCTTCCCACATTTTTCGTTTCCCTTCAGATATATAATCTATATGAAACCTTACAATAAATGGAAAACTTTTATCTTCTACAGACACAAACTTCATTCTACGAAAGCCAATAGCTTTTGTGACAGATGGGTCTCTTAGCCATCTTAATGGGTAGTCAAAACGATAGCCTTCATGCTTTACGGTCTCTGTCTCAAACTTTTGACCGACATTAGTAAAAAGTTCATCTAATGGTTTAGTTGTAGCAACTCTTGAATTTTCTTTTTCTATTGAAGCATATTTTATCTAGAATAAAAATGTCAAATGAAACAGCGTCTATGAGAGAAATACAACACAACCGACAACTCATTATGCAAGCTCTAAATAAGAACACAACAAACTTTTCAAACTATTCTAAGATATCTGAGTCATTGAAAGAAGGAAACTTAAAAACTGACATTAAACCAATGACAGATGAGTTTCTGTTTCAAGACAATAAGAACCATACTGTCTGTATAAATCCAACAAAGGGAACTTTAAACGAGAAACCTATAAATGAACTTCTTTTGAAAGCAGATGTTGACAACAAAGCTGACAAAGAATATGTAGACGATGCAATAGCAAAAGAAGAAGAAAAGCTAACAATGCTTATGCAACAAAAGAACATACTCATCCTGAACTAGCAGACAAAACATATGTTGACAATAAAATGTCAAGTGAAGTGACAAGAGCTGAAAACGAATATTCTAAAAAAGACTCATACACATTCTATATCTGAAATAACAGACTTACAAGAAACCTTAAACAGTAAAAGTGCCGTTGGACATACACATACCATTGCAAATATTACAAACTTACAAGAAACCTTAAACAGGAAAAGTGCGTTGGACATACACATTCTATATCTGATATTACAAACTTACAAGAAACCTTAAACAGGAAAAGTGCCGTTTGGACATACACATACATCTTCTGAAATAACAGACTTAAACGTTAGCCTTGAAAAGAAAGCAGATAAAACATATGTCAATGAAATATACCAAAGTTTGATAGGAACAACAAAAAATATTGAAACTATTGTTGGTGACTTTTCTGTCAATGAAGAAAACAAATATTTTTAGATGGGAGTTTGTACAGTCCTTAAAAAAAATGGTATACGGTATAAACTCATTCCGAAAAATAACAATGAAATGTATGTAAGCTATATAAAGAATAATGGTACACAAGTTAAAGTTCCATTAGACAAACAACTGTTACTTAAACTTATATGGAGACGAACAAAAGAAATATTTAAGAGTTTATGAA